ATGACATCATGACAGGTTGATATGAGATATAACTTGTATGCACATCAATGAAATTACCGACAGTTGTATATCGCATAATACAAATCCTCTGGGTCCTAAAGCCTTTTAGAGCTAACGAAAAGAAAAAAGAAATTCGACCCATATGCTGACATTTGAGATTCTTTTGAATCTAATGAATACATGTATGTGATAATATAAATAATTCATGTTACACGTCTATTAGGTGTCTAGGATTAGTAGATCATGACAATCTTAAATGTTAGAAACATTAAACCGCCTTGTTCCTCGTCTTAAGAAAATATTATAGTTTTACTTTTCCTTGGGCTGCCCAGGGTTGATTTATCAGGTTGCTTTTGTTTTCATTATCTTTATGAAACTTATGAAACTTCGGGCCAGAGAACTGATTTCGGGTTGTATTTCTTATTAAAGCGACATCAATCAATATTAATGTTGCTGTCTTGCCGTAAACTATAGGATCACGAGTGGTGTACCCCAGGTGCCATTTTGTAATGAACAAATAAAAACATATCCTACAATACAATGTGGATGTAATTAGTAAAGGCTCATTCACAAACGACAAAATAATAAATTTTAAAAAAACAAACATGTAGAATGTACTAAACGTCTGTCGTTCAATTTGAACTGTTCACGTATTTCAAGGAGCGTAATTGATTAGAAATTACAATATTTTTTTTTTCGAAAACTGAATATAAATAGAGCCATACGCACTTTAATGTGTAAATTGGATATTTTATATTCGAAACTGTCAACATAATAGCACACATAGCCTACATTAGTATTTAGACTGTATACAGTATAGCCTACATGAATAATTAGACTGTATACAGTATAGCCTATATGTATTGTTTAATGGTCGAGAGCGAGACATTAAGTAATATATTATAACAACAAGAGGGCCGTAGGTCCGAGTGTTTTTACAATATATTACGCAATGTCCTAAGCTCGAGACTATTAAACGACTTAAAATACAGACACTCCGCACGTGCTTTTACAGTGGAATACGTCACGCGAGTCCAATATTTCACTAGTATAAATAATGTACGATTGGCAAGTACGATTATTTGAAATAATGGTACGCCAACATCAAAGGGTGCGTCTGGCCCATGAAAGTAGTAAAGTATGCGATAACCTGTTATATCCAGTCTCCGCTTGCTTTATATTATACATTTTTAACTGGCTTCGGGATATAATTTTGTCCCGTTAATATAGCTCACATAAATCGTAATTAAATCTAACAAAAAAGTCTTTAAGCAATACAAATACACCTTACCATTATCCTAAAATATCTAGCTCTGTCAACAATATCAGTGTTAACATGAAACCGCGAGTGTTACTAAGAACGGACTTGAAGGTGACATAATAATCGAATTGTGGTCCAAGATGCCGTTGATCATGTCTGAAGTATTGATTAAGTTTTGATTAAGTGTGCTTTATTAATTCGAAATCAGTTGGAGAAGGATATATTTTATTTGCCTTTCAAACATGAGTAGAGAAATATTTAGTGTGATGAATTGAAAATGGTGATTGTGGCCCGCGTGCTTGAATTGTTCCCATTCTGTTTTGCAAAGAATCGTGTCTTTGTAGCCTCCCTCCAAATACGTTTTCGTAGGTTGTAAATAATGAAATGAGATAGGGTTCGACGTCCTACTGTTTTGCTCGGATTGGGCTAATGCATACCATACAGCGTGCTATGAGGGGATTAGTACGGCGTACTCTTAAATTGAATTCCAATTGCCAAGGGTTGTTTTACGTGCACAAAAATGTGTACGCGGGACCTTGGTTTTTCGTCCCATTCGAACGACTTTACGTTGTCCCTTGCCAGGCCCTCTGTTCTGCACCACTGACAAGGTGAAAACCATGCAGAAAATCCAGATAATATTTCTCAGCCGACACCAGGATCGAGGTTCGCGAGCCGACGTCTTACTTGCCGAACCACAAATAATATACATATTATTATAAGCATCAATGCAGTCTTATAATACATTAGTTATCTGGGGAACAACTTGAGTACAAAATTGGACATATGTTCAACAACATCTAATGTCACGTTCCTGAAAGTATGATAACATTTTGGTATTGATATTTTAAAGGGACAATAACACTCTTGCTGGCTTGACAGCTCCAAAAAATAAAAAAATAGCCTTATTCTAAGTACTAGATGTGTTAGTGTCCTACCTGTTGTGTAAATTATCCATTAAATCCTATTTTACTTGTCCAGAGGGTTCAAAAATATTTTTAAATCCAAGTCACATTTGAAAAGCCTTAATTACGTCAGGCTTTTCAAATCAGTTAGTTGAATTTTTCCATTTTTTTAAATTAGGTGTGTTAAGATGAAATTTGTATCAACAATTAATTGGAGTATTGTAAAATAGTACAATTTGTTGATCAGAATAAAGATTGGGACATATTTTTCAGTTACAACAAGAGTGGTATTGATATTTTAATATCTAATGATCGCGGTGCAGATCATCTTAGGCAAAAGCCAGTGGTGGTTCAAACAGAAACAGACCTGGACATTGCTACGCGATTTTCTGATTATAAAACTTTGAAGGATCTTCAGGCCCTGTAGTTCTTTTGGATATGTTTAACTGAATTTAAGATGCTAGAACTTTATATTTTTATTAATGTCCGTTCCACATGTCTGCTGCAGGAGATGTATAGAGATATGTTCCCATTGTCAAATGATCGTTCAGTTGACATTTTATATTTTTGCTTAACGTTTTTATTAACAATATTTATCAGTTTATTTTCTGCATATCTCAATAAAACAGTTCGAGGGGTTTAACGTCGTCCACGCGACACAAACTATGTCATTTCGAGACTAATATATGGTTCAATTTTATTTCAATAATTTGTTTGCGCGTCTTTAACTGTGGGAGGAGGAAATCGGACATAAAATGTGAATACTTGGTGAACAAGGCCAAACATAAAAAGACGAAGAGATAACACTGTAGATTTTAGACCAGGTATAATTAAATGTATTTCAAATTACAATAAAAATTTAAAACATTGAATGTAAATCAGTTTATATACATATACATTCATGTTACAATAATAATATATGTGCATTTAGAACTATTTTCGTCTATTTACGGTCACAGAGCTATGCGTCATCTAATTATGTTTGTTTTTTTACACTTGTCACCTGTTAAAGACTTTGGGAGGTGCACTTCATGCTGTGCATGAACTTTCCGAACCCTCTATATAGGAACAGCAAAGGGGTTAGACATTCGGAGACTTGAAGAATGCAAAGTTCTAAAGACGGAGAGCAGCCAACAAATCAACCAAAAACAAAAAAACATCGAATATATATTTACCCAGCAAAAAATGGGTCAAAATGTCTCACTTTTGAAGATTGTCATGGTACGATAATATTAACAGCAATTAATAACAACTGTTCAACATTTTTAATATCGTAACACCTTTATTTGCTTTCAGGTACAACAATTCATCTTTTCCAAATATTTTGCAGCACTTGAAACATTTCTGACTAATGCCAAGTCCATCCTTTTAACTCTGACAGATGAGGCATGGCAGGTCAAAAAGTATGCATTGTAAAAAGAAAGATAGGTGTAATCGGCTTTGCTTTAAAGGCTCAATACCACTCTTGTTGTAACTGAATAATATGTCCCAATATTTATTCTGGTCAACAAATTGTACTATTTTACAATATTCCAATTAATTGATGATACAAATTTCATCTTAACACACCTAATTTAAAAAATTGGAAAAATTCAACTAAACGATTTGAAAAGCCTGACGTAAAGCTTTTCAAATGTGACTTGGATTTAAAAATATTTTTGAACCCTCTGGACAAGTAAAATAGGATTTAATGGATAATTTACACAACAGGTAGGACACTAACACATCTAGTACTTAGAATAAGGCTATTTTTTATTTTCTGGAGCTGTCAAGCCAGCAAAAGTGTTATTGTCTCTTTAAATATCAACAGTATCCTAACTTAAAAATGAAATGAAATAGTGTTTAATGTCATGTTATCCTAACCTAAGCCGGTTAAAGGTTATTGGATGAAACATCAAATCTATAATATCTTTTTACATACAAGTCCTCCAAGGATAATTTTTTTATTTATCTATTTATTCTAAGAAACGGATATATTCATGACAAAAATACAAAATGATCGAAATATGATGCCATTATTAATCTGCTTCTTTTGGATAACCAATGAAAACCAACAAAAATTGCAATAATAATAGGTCAGTAATTCAATTTTCTAGTGCTTTCGGAGCCCTGTTGAGTCGTGTCGGGGTGACCGAGGTAATACAGTGCAAACTAATTGTATTCTCCAATATATTACTTCTATATTAGATGTATTAACCTTGGCAGTTGGAATTCGATGTAAGAGTAGACCATAGTGTCACTGCCCGGGCAAAATTTCCCTCATAGCACACCGGATGGCGTATCCTGTCTTCATTCGCCCAGTCGGAGCAGAATAGTAGGAAGTTAAACCCCATTCCATTTATTAGAATGTGACATAATTTATGGGGGATATCAATTGGTATTTCAGACATAAATACTAAAAGAATTTAAAAAAAATAAAAGTAGGCCTATCTTCAGACAAAGTGGTTGATAATGTTTCTGTCAGATTATCTTTTAATGATGTTAATTAAATATTGGTCGGTAAGAGGGGAATTGTGACCACGTTATTTCTGGTCTTATTAAATTAAGACTGAGTCCAAGTAACTTCTATGTGATTTATTAAACATAGATAAATCTTACATGAGAAATAATTAGGTAAATAAAATAGATTTAAAATACATTAATGTTATCAAACATAGGCTATGTTTACCAAAATGGGAAATGTAACATAGGTTTCTAATATATAAAACTAATATGATATGACTTATGTCGGTAATAGTATTATGGTAGCGAATGCATCGTAAGTTGAGCAGACATCCAGTCTTAGTTTATGTCTGGGCAAATTCGACTACCTACCGGCAGATAACTCCAAAACATGACTACTCTATGGCGTCTTTAGTAACATCTGTTTACATTTTGTTTCAAGCACCTTTTTTTCTGTGATTGACAGCGAACTATTGCAAGTTGCAATATTTATGTTAAATTCGCATTATATAAGGTAAAAAACAGTAATTTTACAGAAAATATATGATGACTGCTTATTTTTGTCGCCATGATCAAAATGATTGTTACCGGTAGGCCTACCGTACCTTAGCCTATCCTATTCCTATTGTTTAATGGTGTTCAGAAAAGGAGAATATCCTATTTGAGATGATACCAAAAATTAGCCTATGCCATTGAAAAAAATTGATTAACATTGTGTGGGAGGATTTAGTTCAAGCAACTATATTTGCACCTCTGTGATGTTTTAAAGTAAAATGAAATGAAATACTGTTCTGCTCGACTAAACTGGGCTAATGAAGACGGGCATATGCCGTACAGTGTGCTATGAGGGAAATTTTGCCTGGGCAGCGGCGCTACGGTCTACTCTTATATTGAATTCCAACTACCAAGGGATCCTTTACGTGCACGCCAATATGTATACGGGACCTCGGTTTTTCGTCCCATCCGAACGACTAGACAGCTGTCCTTGTCAGGCTCTCCATCCTGCATCACTGACAAGGGGGAACCACGTCGGAAAATCTGGATGAACTTTCTCGGCCAATGCAGGGATCGAACCAGCGACCTCCAGACTAGCGAGCCAGCGTCTTACCCACTTAGCCACGTGATCCCCTATGTTTTATAGATATAGTAACCTAACGTCCACTGTGTAGTGATTTCATAACTTCCCAGAAGTTGATATGATAAAACCAAGATATCTTTGATGTAGTAAGTTTCTAACATTCAAGTTTGGTTTGGCTCTCCCAAACTCAACCATATTTGTGGGTTGCCTATGCTCAACTACATTTATGGGTCACCCAAACACCTGTATTGGAATGCACTGCTGTTGGCCTATTTAATTTAAGATGGTTAGATTATCGTGAGAGGAGTTATTTCACACCAGAGATGGTCGCTTGTCTAGCAGAAAAGTTGATTTTATGTCTTTTATAATTTATAGTGTTCTAATAATGGAATTATCGATAGTAGATTTTAATAGCCCTTATATAACCTTCCTTCATTTGGCCGATCACTTCAACACTGTCAAGTTGAGACAATAAATGAATGAAGACAGGTACGCCACGCAGTATGCTATGGCTTCTATTATTTAACAGTCATGGGTTCTTTTATATGCAAGCCTAAGAGAAAGTTCACTGCAGTATAACTGGGTCACCTCCTAAACCTGAAACTGATATTTATATTCCCTGGTAGTTTAGATGTTTTTTCCAGTCACATATCTGTGTCAAGAATGTATATATATCATTAAATTTACAGTTAATATTGATCTGTGAAAGACCTGTACAAAGTCAATGGTTTTAATTTATTTTTCTACATAGTCGACTTCATGGTGTACACACTTTTGCCAACATTGTTGCAAGGCCTGGAATGCGGTCAGAAAGAAATTTTCTTCAACCACCCAAAGAAAGTCGCTCATAACTGACATTACTTCATCATTACGACAACCGGCTAGTTCCTTTGTCATTTTTGGAAACGTGTTTCTTCCATGGTTACCAATCTGTCCAAAATATTATCAAAGTTAGGCGTCAAAATGGCACATGGATCAACCCAACTGATCTATCCTTTTCAGCCAGCCCTCATATAGCTTACATAAAATCTGTGTGGAAATGAATTATGTAAAAGCTTATTCTTTAGAGAAGTAAATTCTATCTCATAATATATTAATATAATTCCATATTATTTATTATTAGTCTAGTGAAAATTAGAAATATAAGCTTATTCCTTTGACAGTCTTAGTCTGCATTGATATGCAGAGATACAAATATCCAGAATAAGCCCTAAAAGCTGTCTTAAGGTGTCACGACCACCTTAATAAACCATAATTTTATGAAAAATGAAAAAGTACAGAAACATATCAATTTTACATTCACCTGAAAGATACATACCTTATTAATCTATATCATTGATAACTTGTAAGAGAATGCAGAAGAGATAAATTACTAAAACCAATTACTAATTACATCAAACCCATTAGAAATTGAAAGTCGGTATAAAGGCATGCAACAATTATATTAAAATGAATAAGCTTATATTTTTAACTGATTATTAGCTAATTCCATAGTATAACTTAGATAAAATTATTGTCTTTGACAGCGTAAGACCCCCTTAAAAAAATTATTTAGAAAAAGGTACAGCAATACCGTACTTAACTAACAGGCTATGAAAATATTGATTTCAATGTATATTAAATAGCATACGCTTTAGTTCCCTTTAAATTCCAATGAATTTAACATTTTATTCCACCTCAGTCATTTGAGAATTAGCTGGAATAAAACCTCTTTAGGAAATGAGCTATATTTAGTTCCACACAGATATGACGCAACAGCATGGGTGCAACAAAACACGCTTGAACACAAGTCATTTTATCTTACTCAACCATCTCAAAAAAGGGATCTCTAAAAATTAGAATTCTTTTTTTTTCATGCAATAGATGACTTAATTATCATTATATCTTTAATTATTTTCAGCTGTTAGAACAAGCTAATTGGTTGAATACAAAATGGCAGCAGTTAATGAAAAAGCAGATGCCAAATCCAGACAAGATTTTTATGACACAAAACAGAAAGCCATTGAATATTACAACAAAAATGGAGTTCCTAGTAAAATGGAAACTGTGTTAAATTCTATGTTTTATGATAATCCAGAAGATGTCTATGGTCATTTAGTAAGTACCAAATTTTTGAATAAGTATATATCAGTCAGAAGTGTCGGCCAAATTACGGCATGTCTATTAAAACTTCAAAATGACATAATAATTTTGTATATATTAGTCCAGATTTTTATATGACCACATTTTCAACTGCAACTGTTGTCAGTTGGTTCACCGTCATGCCCACTATTTTGCTAACACTCTGCAGGTTATAGTTTTTCACTTATTGTTTCATATTTGCAGAAAAGATCATTTTTAAAATCGCAGACTTACATGTATCTCTTGCTTTATATTCTAACTTATGAAAGTGTACACATGCTCTGCAGAATTTGTTCAAATGCCAACATCAAATATCAAATAAAATATGTTAGAAATGAATTAATGTATGGATGAATGAATGAAAAATGGGGTTTAAACCTCCTGCTTCTACACCAACCAGTCTAATCAAGACAGGGATAGCCATACAGTGTGCTATACGTGAACTTTTGTCAGAGCAGTGATTGAATTCCAACTGTCGAGGGGTATTTTACATGCACACCAATGTGTATACAGGTTCTCCTTCCTGCATCACTGACTAGGAGGGGGAACACACCAAAATATCCCAAGGACAACTGGTTTAATCCTGGGAACCCCAGGTTAGCCAATCAGCACCTTATTGAGACGGGGGATCACGTGGCTAAGTGGGTAAGACACTGGCTCGCTAGCCTGGAGGTCAGATGTGCACGTAAAAGATCCCTCGGCAGTTGGAATTCGATATAAGAGTAGGCCGTAGCGCCACTGCCTGGGCAAAATTTCCCTATATGGCGTATGCCCGTCTTCGTTAGCCCAGTTTAAGAGCAGAACAGTAGGACGTTAAACCCTATTTCATTTCATTTACCTTATTGAGACATAGCAACACCTATGTTTGAAACTAAGTGTACAGCCTACTGATTATTCAACATATATACTTCTTTCTATTAAAAATGATTGTGGAATAACAGGTGAAATTTTTTCTCAAAATTGCATTTATTTGCTGTTATTATTTATTTTAAAATTGAAAATGTTGATTCAATTGATCTTTCTTTTTCAGTCAAATTATTTTGAAAAATTTGCAAAGACACCACTTATTACTAAGGTGAGTCTCTTTGTAAATATTATAACCTTAAAGTGATAAATTGTGTATAACTGTATAAAACCTATAGTTAAGATAGCTGACATCCACTAGTAAGATATTATTTATGTTATGAAATGGTGGTTCAATTTAGTAAAGTGTTTTCTTTCTTTCTTTCAGAGAACTGTATCAATTTGATATTTCTGTTATTTAGATTTTTAAAAATTTTGATGTAATTTTATAAAGTAGTTTTCATCACAGAACCATAGTCAATTTTCTAGCTATATTTGATTATTATACTTTGGTTGTTTTTTCCGTGTCTTTAACAAAAGAACAATATTGCACTTAAACCGCAACCAGCCAGCTGTAGATTGTCCACTTAAAGGAGCTGGGGAGGTGAGGGGGGCCTGAATGGTTAGCATATGCGCGCTGTATCATAAAGTCTGTCATTGAGTCAACTGGCGTGGTTTCGATTCCCAGGTTGTACGTGACAAGGAGACGAGTCGCCTTCCAACCTCGTGGGTTTTCTCCGGGTTCTCTGGTTTCCTCCCACTGCTAAAGACCCCTACGCTTAAGTGAATTATTGAAATAAAATTAAACCATATGTTAGTCCCGAAATGACCTAGTTGGTGTCAAGTGGACATGAAACCCCATTTCTCTCTCTCTCTCTCTCTCTCTCTCTTAAAGGAGCTAAGTCTCTAACTCAATATTTTCCATAATATTCGGAAATAAAAACAAGAATTAGACTTCAATATTGATCAGTTTCAATCAATATTAATGTTGTTTTCTTGCCGTGAAACTATAGGATCCTAATATCCCAATATTTAAGACAGAATTAACATTTTAATAATCAGTACAAAAGTCGTGTACCCTATGGTTTCGGGTGCTATTTTAAAATGAACAAATAAAAACATATCCTACAACACAATTTGGAAGTAATTAGTAAAGGGCAAAGGCGGATTCACAATTAATGACAAAAAAATAATTTAAAAAACGTGTAGAATAGAATGCACAAAGCAGGGACTGCCGTTCAATTTGAACTGTTTACGCATTTCACTGAACATAACTGATTAGAAATTACAATATATGTTTTCAAAAATTGAATATAAATCACATAACATGTTACATTAATATCTGCTTTTAGAACCATTTTTGTCTATTTCAAGGTTCCAAAAAATAGGGGCATGTAGGAGTCAAAAAAATGTAACTTACTTTTTAAAAGAATCTTATTGTATAATTAAGTACGTATTAAATAAAAACCTTCATGAAGAATTTGGTGGCTTGTAGTACAAAAATGAAATGGAATGGGTTTAATGTCCTACTGTCCTGCTCCTTACTGGCTACTGGGTAATGAAGACTGGCATATACCATGCAGTGTGCTACGAGGGTTTTTTGCCCGGACAGAGGCGCTATGGCCCACTCTATTTCCAGTTCTAACTGTCAAGGGGTCTTTTACATGCACACCAATGTGTACACGTGACTTCATTTTTTTGTCCTATCCAAATGACTTTACGTTGCCAGGACCTCTGTTCTACACTACTGACAAGGGGGAAGCATGCTGGAAAATCACAATAAATTTTATCAACCAACACCATGATCAAAAACAGGACCTCCATCTTAGCAAACCAACACCCTATTCACTGAGCCACCCTGGCTCCCTGTACAAAAAGGAGTTATTAAGATGGCAGTGAAATCAATAGAAACCAATGTAATTTTTAAATAACCATAAATAGGGGAGTTTTTTGACCAAAATGTTTTTCTAATAAAAGTCTATTTTGATTGTGTCTGGTGTTTTAAACTCTATATTTACCATATATTCTGGCACCCCTCTTCATTATCCTTGTTGGTGCAGAACAGTGGGACTTTAAACCCCATTTCATTTTATTCTGGCATGTTGGTGCTTTAACATTGCTGAAATTACTCATTAAAAGAGTCTGGTCATATCCATGTTCATGTTGACGATACATGATACACAATTAAGGCTTGCTTTTAGGAATGTGAATACCTCATTATTAATGAATCTTTGTGTATTTTTTTTTTTCTAGCTAAAATCATCAACAGCTATAGACAGTCGAGGTCAGTCTACAGTACAAACATCTGTTTATTGTAATATTAAGAATCATCAACAGGTCAGTATTGTACATGGGGGTTATATCAGTTTTCTCTCACTAAATACAGGTTGATATGCATTGATATGGTCTGCTGCGAACCGACTTAAATATAGGTATCAAATACACAGATAACCAATGAGAACTTTATGAATTTGTAGTCTGTCACTCTAAGCTGGTCACTTGCACAGACTTATAGATGGTGTTAATTGTAAAAATAAAATCATGTGTTCCATACCTATGGATGAATGATTGAATAGTTGAGGAGGATGAATATGGCAAAGGTTGCCAATTTATCACTGATTCCTAAACTTTTACATACATTATAGCTTACAACGAGTTCAGCAGATAACTAAGCAAGTCTAGGGTTGTTTTGAATATTAATTAGCCTTATTTTCTTATTGAAAGTGATAATTCCTCATAATCCTAACACTTATCTGCAAGGTTCCTTTTCAAACAAGTTTACACAGGAAGTATGAGTGCCAGGGGCGGATTGGGGCCGGGAACCGGCCCGGGTTCCCGTGTCGGAGCGGCCCCTTTTACTGACCGCGGAGCCCAGATGGGGGGTCCGGGGGCTCTCCCCCATGAAAATTTTGAAAAATGAACCCCAAATATGCGATTTGGTAGCATATCTGATTATAATCTCTGTCAAATAATATATCTCATAAATCGAGTAATTTAGGCCAAAACCCTGACCTGCAAGTAATTTACATCCATCAACCTGTGAAATTATCATATCGTCATATTATTAATTAACGTATTATCATTGTATCGTCAAGACCAGCTATCATCAAATTTTGCCGAGGCCTTAAAATTGAAATTATTTTTGGAGTTACGAACCATCGGCAGACGTTTCTGGCGACAGTGTCGGGTGAATCCGATGAAATTTTCGGATGAAATTTGGAATCCCCAGTGCAGGATTCCGAATTCCGGCCCACACCCAGCACACCCGGCCCAGAAAGTATTATACCAGCCCAATCCAGATTCCAGTGATGGCGTGGCGGCCCGTTAAAGCCACCGGCCACATACAACATGATCATCATCGCTCCATAGCCGGTCCAATACCCCCCCCCCCCCCATATAATGTTCAGCAGATAAGGTTTTTTTTAGACGAATTGGACAAAATTATTTTTTTTCATATTTTGTCCGACCGGCCCTTCGGGTGATCGCCCGATGGCCCAATCCGCCCCTGATGAGTGCTGTCTGAATTTATGGCTTTTTTTTTTTTGCCTACCGTGAAAATAATTGTTTTATTACCAGTATGTATGGCCTATATTTGTCTCTTTTGTATTGTGTATAACTATCAACAGTGATCTAGTCATATATCTTATATTTTATTATGTGTATTTTTTGTATTGTGTATCAACAGTAGGGGATCACGTGGCTAAGTGGGTAAGATGCTAGCTCGCTAGCCTGGAGGTCAGGTGTTCGATCCCTGCATTGGCCGAGAAAGTTCATCCAGATTTTTCGGCGTGGTTCTCCCTTGTCAGTGATGCAGGATGGAGGGGCTGACAAGGAAAGCTGTCTAGTCGTTCGGATGGGACGAAAAACCGAGGTCCCGTGTACACATTGGCGTGCACGTAAAAGACCCCTTGGCAGTTGGAATTCGATATAAGAGTAGGCCGTAGTGCCGCTGTCCGGGCAAAATTTCCCTCATAACACACTGTATGGCGTATGCCCGTCTTCATTAGCCCAGGTTAGGAGCAGAACAGTAGGACGTTAAACCCCATTTCATTTCATTTCATTTCGTATCAACAGTAGTAAGTCCTTTTCATGTCTCTCATGTTTTATTTTGAATATTATTTGTAGTGTGTATCAACAGTGGTAAGTCCTAGTCCGGTATCACATGTTTTAGAGAATGCTAAAATAGAGGAAAGAGAAGCTGAAGAAACCGAGAGAAAAGAAGATATACAAGCTTGTATAGATCTAATACAAACAGAATTAAACAATAAATTAAACGGCTTAGATCCATGCCAACAAACTGACATTGATACTCTTATATAGTAGGTTTATTTACTATTTTAGATAAGTAATAATAGGCATTGTGAGAACCTGTATTAGTCCATGTGACAGACCTGGGATTTTGGAACATCATTACCAATTTGATGAATAAATTCAACCATGATTTTCAGTTAGCCTGGTGGCTGAAGTGTTGAAATTTGGTTGATGGACTTCCGGGTTACTTTGCTAAATTGCATTTTGGCGGCCATCTTTAAAGATGGCCGCCGTTATTTCATTGAAATTGAGGGAAACCTTCATAACTCCTGAAAAGATCGACCTATGGATATGGAATGTGGCTCACAATGTTCACAAGAAAATGCTTCTTCTGGTGCTATATGATACTTGTTGTTGAATGAATCATATATTTTCCAAATCAACAGATTATTCTGGAAAAAGCAACCTTTTGGCATTTTTATTTTCCCAGGTTTTCATGATTTATTTTATAAGTTTACTACCAAATCCTGTTCAGAGTAATTTTAGCCAAATTATGTGTGTGGTCTTCTTAAGTTATTCAATTAGCATAAATAAATACGCCCAGTCGTCCTCCCTATACAGCTGCGGTGGCCGCAAACTCAACAAAAGTCGTAAGTAGACTGTCAAATTTAAAATGTTGAACGTCGGCGAGGCAGGGCACAAACTTAGTGAACTTTTATCTAGTGTGTCACAATCGAAACGATATTTGGGGACGGGTTGTGTGTCAAAATTTGTCCCTAAAGACAATTTTGAGATTATGTCACTTCTGTGACGTCATTTTCGGTTGGGGTTCAATCCGCATGTCCAAAATGACCGCAAGGGAGCTAAAGATGATCCGAACAATTATAGGCCAATCTCAATTCTCCCCACAATTTCAAAGATATTCGAAAGGCACTTGAGCACTCAAATTCAAACTTATTTGGAAACCTTCAATGTTCTTTATGCTTACCAATCTGGATTTAGATCAAATCATTGATGTGCTACTGCACCGATCCGAATGACAGATAATTGGCTTGATGCTATCGATAATGGTGCGATGAGTGGTATAGTGTATCTTGATTTTAGCAAAGCATTTGATCTCATTGATCATAAGCTTATTATTGAAAAACTACATCTTTATCGATTTGATAATAATTCACAAATTTTGATTGAATCATATCTTGACTCACGGAAGCAAAAAGTATGTTTAGGATCAATTACCTCCTCAATTACTACAGTCAAATGCGGGGTTCCACAAGGGTCGATCGTGGGTCCTCTCCTATTCCTTATTTTTATAAATGATTTCCCACTCAATATTGAATCAAGTCAGATAGATTTGTTTGCTGATAACAGTACCCTGCATTGTTCACACAAAGTTATTTAATCCATCGCCAATAATCTCCAAAATTATCTCTATTTGGTTGCTAAATGGTGTGAAAACAATGGGATGGTAATCAATCCTTCGAAAACAAAATCAATGCTGATTTCATCAAAACACAAAAGAAATCAGAAAAACCTAACTTTATCACTCCATGGTGAGAAAATTGAGACGGTTATTACCGCAAAATTACTTGGAATTCAAATTGACCAAGACCTTAATTGGAAAGCACAGATAGCAGATATGTCTAAAAAACTTGCATCAAAAATATTTCTCCTAAATAAGATAAAAGATCATTTACCTTACGAGACAGGAATTTTGTTTTATAACAGTTACATACTACCAATATTTGATTATTGCTCTATTATTTGTGGAAATGCTACCAAAAGTAGATTAGACATTCTTTTAAAATTACAAAAGAGGGCAGCAAGAATTATTCTTGATGCACCGATTGAAACTCCGTCCACCTCTTTATTTACTAAACTCGGTTGGCTTACCCTTACACAGAGGATTCTTTACAATAAAATTGTCTTAGCATTCAAAATTATTACATTTAATACTCCACTTTATCTAAATTTCTATTTTATTGAAAAATCTCTTGTTTCCAAAACGGATATCTTGCTCCGTTCACAGACCAGTAAATCTCTTTTTCTTCAAAATTGCAAAACGGAATCCACGAAACGTACTTTTCATTATTCTGCATGTCTTTTATGGAACAATCTGCCTTTTGATATAAAGATGTGTAAAAATGTTGAAAATTTTAAGATTAAACTGAAAAGTCATTTATTTTGCACACTGAAGGAACCATAATATTCAACTGATGACATACTTATTATTTTGAACTTGCAACTGCATTCTATTTTATTTTGTGTGTAATTATAGTGTTCTTCCTATTTTCTACTTGTATAATGTATATGTTTTGAAGTTTGGGAGTGACTTATCAAACTTTCCACTTTAAAATGCTATTGCATTTCTAATGATTTTAAATTTATCCTGATATTACATGTATATATGTCTTTGTAGCTTAGGAGGGACCTATGGAAGATTAGTTTTTTTGCAAACTAAATACGTTGCCTCATTAAATAATGTTTTTATTATTATTATTATTATTATTATTATAGTATCATGCAAGGTAGGGCTTGTGATATATCATGTATAGGGTTTTCGTAGCCACTGAATTTAAAATTGAATTATTTATTGGAATTTTCGATGAAACGGAAAGGTTTGTTCCGCACAGGTATTAGCTTAGAAGGGACAAATACAATTTGTAGAACCAGATATTTGATGTTAGTGAACCCATTTTTTCTAGGACACCTGTTTCACACAAAATCTTATTTTCTATCCAGACGAACCTTCAGTATAATAATCTATATGCATACAAAGTTTATGAAAATACACATTCAAGCAGCATTTAATATGGTCTACCACCTGTAGGACACTCCCTTCAACTTAAAAATAAATTGTTTATTGGAATTTTCGATTAAACGTAAACTTTCTGTAAAATGTAAAATACTCGACTAATATACCAGTTGTAACATGTTTAACATCATATCTTTCCACGCGAATTAACAATAACGTGTTCATTCGATAAAACGGAAACATTTTTTATACTTGTAAAATAAATACCTATTGTGTATATGATACGTTGAAGTCTACCATGTAATACGGAAATTTGCAACACGTTTATAAGCACCATATCTTTCTACATGAACTTACAATAAATTGTCCATTGGATAAAAAGGAGACATTTTTTTTATATATATAACTGTAAAATAATATATGAATTATCGTTTTAACATCATATCTTTTGCCTCTCTTTTCAGGGATGGACACTCAAAAGGAGTATGGTAGTTTCGGGGGTCCCTAAACTAGTCAATGTTCTCGCGTAGTTATGAATTTATGTCGTTTTTGATGAATTATTAAGATATATGCATAAGCTAAAAACACCAGGATATACTCTAGAAAGTACCATTTAAATTACAGTCAGTTTTTTCAAAAGAAATTTCGAGTCTGGTTGTAGAGAACCCTGTCGTTCACCTCACGGAGCAAAGATAAGCCTGTCCTATCCTAGGTATCATATGTGTAATTTTATGTCAACTTCACAATTGTTAGTATAAATATAACATTTACTTGACAATTATCACAATTTTCATCTGTCCTTAAAACATTTTAATTGGATTTGTGTTCCTGGTGTTATAAGCTTTCCAAATATGTATAGTTTGTTTAATAGGGAGGACCTTGTAGCGGAACTGTGTTTCTAAGCAAGCTAAAAATTTTGGTTGCAGGCCTACTAGACTATACGACAAAAGTTGCCGGGCATAGAGGCGTTAATGTAAAAACGGACCACATTACCATTTCTGAACGAATAAGAGATCTTAAATTCTTAACAACTGGATATATCATAAATAATTCTCAATACGGCTTAAAATGGTGCAAAGGCATAGTAGATGAAATTAAAATGACTCACTATTTTGGTGAAATGTCTTGTGATCTGTGAGATCCAAAATAATCAATTCCATATTATGCCCCATTGTATTGTTTATGGGGTGTGTGTGTGTGTGGGGGGGGGTCGCATAGGATGTGTCATTTTTAGCAGTATCATTAACATCATTTTCAGCATTATTTTTGAGTTTTTATTTATGTTCAGTGACTCTGAAAACCTTATAAAAGAGACATTATAAGCTATATAAAACAGGCATTCATGTTATGGAAATTCTGACCGCCATTTTGAATTTTCCCCATCTTGGATTTTTAAAACTCTTTGTTTAGATTAAACAAACATTGTGCAAGAGCTAAATCTCCCTATTGCAGGTCTTTCTTTAGGCCTGAAATGTTTTCTAAATTATTATTTAGACATTAATTAACTGACCCAGGCCATAATCAACTCTCGATGGCATCGGATTTCTCCGATATTAAATAAATTAGAACGTATCAGTCATATTTTGATTTAATCTAAAAATGGAGGAGCGAGACTTAGCTTCGAGCAACCAGTACAGTTGTTGAAATTATTGCACGTGTCTTGTCAAACCTTCAAAGGCTAATATCTTCGCTTGCAATAGAGTAATTTGAATGAAATTGTCAAATTATTCATTTTACATTATCTATTTTCGAACTATTGTAGCAAGAATGGCTAGCTCTTTATCTAAATCTTACGTAATGAATCTTTAATTGTAAGCTCATTGGATAGTACATGTCATATCAAACAATGAAATGACTATTATCTGACATATTGGCCATTTTAGGAAATTTTGTCGCCATTTTGAATTTCCGCCATCTTGGATCTGGGACACTCATATTTGAGATTATTTTTTATGATCAATGTTTCTGATATCTATTCAATCACTTAAGTTGACCAAACAGATAATTTGGCTTATATGGGTCTGAACACGATTTGTTAGTAAACATACGAACAGACATGAAAAAAAAAATCGAAAATGTTACTTTTTTCAGATTAATCTTTTATTTTAAAACTGATAGTATTGATTAAACAACATATATCATATACCAGCAGATGCAGAATTATACTATGAACATTTTGAGATATATTACATATCCATATAGGTGAAACTGTTGAGGAGTTATGAAGGCTTCACCGACTCGCACTATTTCAAATAAGAAAAAAAACGGCGGCCATTTTTTTTAAAGATGGCCGCCAAACTGACATTTGGCAAAGTGACCCGGAAGTCCATCAACCAATTTTGGACACTTTAGACCTAAGGCTAACTGAAAATCATAGTTAAACCAATTCATCAAATTGGTAATGAATATCTGCCTGTCACATTGACTATATGTCTTTATTATAAAATAGGGTAGCTTACCCTATAGAAATATTTTCAAAGATAACATTTTGTTGGAGTAGAATTCTGTAGAATTAGTAAATCATTAGTATGATAGTGCCAAGACCTTTTTCTTCATCCAAAATTGAATGATCTCAAGTTTGTGATAAATTTAAGCCTTAAATTTGCCCGTCTTAGCCAGTGCATTTAGTAGCTTCTGTGTGATATTTAACGATACTGGCAAGGCAAATAAGATTTGCTTAGATCATGGGTTCATGAAACTAAATTTACAGTGCTCTCAAAGACTTAATTGTTATTAATGCTACTTTGTATTAATTTCTATTAGAATGGTTCTTTCTATAGTTATTTCATCCTTTAATGTTGCCAGTTTATTTTCTTTACAGTGATTTTATAGTGGAGAAGAAAAGAGAAAACGATATTCTAAAGGAAGAACAAAAGAAAGAAAGCCCTGAAGTACAAGCCCAATCTCCTGTTGTACAATCACCTACAAACAAGAAAAATAAACCAGCTTCACCTAAGTAAATATTTTCTACTATTTTAATCCCTGTGGAAAAGCAAGGGTTGGGTGGCCGAATGGTTAACACATGAGCATTGGATCACAAGCAGTGATGGGATTTCACCTGTATTTTCCGAACATGTCCGACGCTATTTTCCAAATGCCCTAAATTGTCCGACCAGGAATATGCCCAATTGGACATCAAGATATGGTGAATAGTATTCAAAATTCCAAATTTAATATAGTGTACTGAGTATCTACCACTCAACCCGATTATCGTTGATAATAGGCTAGATTGATTAGGTAATTAATTAATTAATTGATTAACAGATTTATCGTGTTTTACCACCTATTCACCTACCTTGATTAACTAGTTAATCTGCCTTGATTGGCAAGATTGATTAGGTAATTAACTGATTAACAGATTTATTCGTGTCATACCACCTACACACCTACCTTGATTAACTAGTTAATCTGCCTTGATTGGCTGACTTATTCCTTTGTCGGACAATTCATCAATCCAATCCTGAACAGAAGTCATTGCTTCTCTTTTGTCGGACTATGTATCAATCTACTAAGAGTGATTATAAACTTAATCTACGTGATTAACCTGTGATTTCTCCATTTTCCTTGATGTTGTATTACGACAACACATTATTTTGCAGGAATATTACTGACATAAATTTGATTATGGTGTGACAGTTATTTTGGCACCTATTTGAGATACCCCAAAAAGCGACCTAAACTTTTACATGTAAATTGATTGTAATCAATGTAGACCTTTTGATAAGTAAAAAAGAATAGTATGTAAATAAATACAACACCAAATCAAAGATATCTACTAATGATGATAAATAAAAAAGAAATGAAATGAAATGGGGTTAAACGTCCTACTGTTCTGCTCTGAATTGGGCAACTGAAGACGGGCATACACCATACAGTGTGCTATGAGGGAAAATTTGCCCAGACCGCGGCACTACGGCCTACTCTTAGATCGAATTCGAACTGTCAAGGGATCTTTACGTGCACGCCAATGTGTACACGGGACCTCGGTTTTTCGTCTCATCCGCATGACTAGACAGCTGTACTTGTCAGGCCCTCTGTCCTGCATCACTGACAAGGGGGAACCACGCTGGAAAATCTGGGTGGACTTTCTCAGCCAATGCAGGGATCGAACACCCGACCTCCAGGCTAGCGAGCCAGCATCTTACCCACTTAGCCACTATGACCCCTAAAATAAAAAAGAATAGTATGTAAATGAATATACAACACCAAATGAAAGATATCTGCTAATGATGATAAATAAAAAAGAATAGTATGTAAATAAATAAGATAGACAGCATCAAATCAAAGATTTTGTCTAATGATAATTGTGTTGGAATGATGAAAAGCTCTCTAGTGGAGTGTTGCATAAAGAAGATGAAAAAACAATGAGGTAGCAAGATAACTCAATATTCAACTGTTATACATTAGGTTCCATTGAAAACAAGAAGAAACCGATAAGATATATAAATGATGCTTTGTCACTAGAGTTCCATTCACAAGTATCAATTTAAAGCCAGAACGCAGGGGTAGATCCAAAGGGCGGGGCTTGAATCAGACTTAAATATATTGGATAGATTTTTTATTTTTTTTATTTGAATCATTTTAAATAGGAAAGCTAAAGCTGCTAGTTTAGTTATTGTTATACCTGATGAACCCAGAGAGATATTTATACCAGGAACCAGTGCTGTTTGTGCTATCAGTAAAGCTGTCTGCTGCGGTGCTGCCAGTGTAAAACAAGTACCATTATATCAACATATAACATCTTTATATTCACAACAGGTACTAATATTTACGTCTCAAGAATAGTTAAAATATTAAGCCAGAGTTTCATGAAATTATTAAACAGGCATTATGCAAGAGCTAAATCTACCTATTGCAGGTCTTTCTTTATGCTTGATATGTTTATAAACTATGAATTAGACATTTATGAACATGACAAGACCATAATCAGTTCTCGATGCCATCTGATGGGTCTGATTTTCAACAGATTTGAATCGGATCTGCACTTCTATGGTGGTTGATGATTAACCATATAAATGGATAATCGAGACTTTGTTTATTATCGTAACAATGACAATTAAGGCCACAGCATTATTAAAATGAGGATTTCTCGGCTTCGATTTAAGTAAGTTGACTGAAATTTTCAGCATATTCCCTTTACATTATCTTTTTTTTAACTATTATAGCAAGAACTGTCAGCTCTTTATCTAATCTTCAATAATGTCGCTTTAAGTGTTATAGATCAAAGTTCAGGTCAACTGGGAATTGTGCCATAAAATATATCGTGTCATATTCCCGATGTTTGTTTTGATAAATACACATAATGATTCCATGTTTTGCTGTTTTAATACCATGTCATATTTAATCCTATTACTTTCAATATTTCTACTTTGAATGATTTATGACTCACAATATGCACAGGATTTGAAATTTAAGAATTAAGTGCTACCAGTACTTAAAGTCAAAAGGAGCTGGTTTGCAAAATTGGGGGCACCAAAATTCAATTAGGTTTATTTTCAGAAGTGACTAAGATTTTATTGACCTTAAAATGATAAATATTTAGTTCCTAAGGAAGCTTTCAAGAATCCAAGAAAAGAAAAATTTATGGAGCAAATTCACTTAAAACTGCAAATTTTTTTCTGGGGCTTCTCTGTCCTAGAACCCAAAAGAATACTTTTACTGATAGCTAGGGATAGAATTACAACCAATTTTGATGGCAAAGCAGGTTGAATATCACAAAACTTTTGGTGGGCTTTAAATTGACTATAGAATGATTAAACATTGGGTTACTATGGAAGGTTTGCAAGGGGTGCTAAAGGCACATAATAAGCAATGGAAATTCGAATTTTAAGTAATTTATAGAGAAATTTACAGCGTCTTTGCTCCATTAACAGCGAAAGGAATTGCTCTTCTACTGATAACTAGGCATAGAAATGTAAACAATTTTAACAGTAACCTACGGTCATTTGATTTGGTGCTTTCCGCATCAGCTAAATCCCAGTGAGCGTCATTGCTGCAACCATCCCACCATGACACTGCTCACTATTGGTATTGGAGTGCGGTAACCACATCTCAATAATCACGATTCCCAACATATAACATCAGCTTAAACTGGGAATGGGACTGTCAAGGATCCAATATGAGACCCATCCAGGAGTTGTGTGCACTATTAATTAGTTAATGATTTGTTGTCTGAATAATTTTAGCATGTTAATAACTTATTGTTTTATGCATTTTGTTACAGTCACAAAAGACTTTTTCTCTTCCATTACCAATGGTAACAATATTACAAGCTGGTAGAGCATCTACAGGAAAATTGAAATGTATTAAAGAATTCATGGTTATACCAAAGCCTGGTATGCCAATGAAACAGGTATAGATGTTTATTATTGAGAGCAAATCCGTTGGGACTGTGATAATGTCCATCTCAATTATGATATGAATTATGAATAAGCTCGGGATTATGGAATAATATTGGGTGATTTATGCTATTAAGTATTATGAATAGTAATGTTAGACAAATGTGAGAATTTCGATATATTATGTCATTGACCTATTATTTGTTTCATATTCATAGACAAGGCATAGAAATGAACTATAGTTTAATAAACACATCTGTCATGTGTCTTCTTCGTCATCAAAATGCATCATATCCTCGATCTCTTGCTCATGAAAATACAGGCGATGGAAAATTACCGTTATGTAATTAGGTGTAATTAATCACCAATGTCCATATATGGTCCTATAAAAGAGCCCAAACCAGGGACCAAAGAGCAGACCTCTTGTAGATTCTTTGGAGATCAGACGCGCATTGGGTTCTTAAGACTTAAGGAGAATCCAAGATACCGTTGAGGTTCAACTTGAACCGTTCAAAAGACACCATCTGGACTTAGTAAAGGACAGTCATGATGTATTATTGCTCCTGAGTGATAAACAAAAGTTTTAACTGCTGATAAAAATACTTAAACAACAAGAGAAGTCCTAGCCACAAGAGAATTACAATAATATAGGCCAGAGACAAATCTAGACGATCACCGGCTAACAAGATGTGTGGCAGAGAATATATTGGACGTAAGATGTGCTAAACCATTCAATGGTACCACTTTCCATGTCCGACGACGTCATATTGCTACAATTATTAATGGCTAAATGTCCTGACATCAATTAAATGGAATATTCAAAAAATAAAAAAAAATGTTCGTGATCAATAAACAGTAGCAATAATGAATTTTATCATGCTATGGGTTAGGGTTAACCTTACTGAAGTTTTATGGAATTCTGTCAAACACAATTAAAGGTACTTCATCAATAGACTCCTTTGGTAGACAGATTCAGGTTGAGGTGTTAGAATGTTAGTGTTGGGTAGCTTAAAAACTATTTAGTTATTTATGCATTCTAATAATAGACTATAAAGATTGTCTGTCAGACATGAAAGTACAGACCTACTATGTTAGACAACATATATACTGTTAACTCAAGTTTAAATTGCCAGATTTAAAGATTGTTAGAAACTATTATGTTTTAAAGTAAATCATTCTATTTTTCTTACTGTCTGTGTATTTCTGTATTGTTTTTATACCTCCACAATTTTTACCTGATTTTGATAAAACTTGAAATATAGGTCTCTTGGTTCCTTTCGATATCGGCATGTATTGGAACATAACTTCATGGATTATGGCCCTGATTTTATGTAATACCAAGTTTGTGGACACTCAAGAGGTCACAATTTTTTATCTGATTTTGATGAAACTTGAAATGCATGTTTATAATCCAAAGATGTAAACATATGGTGTGGACCCTATCACTAGGGACCGGGTATCATTCAGATTTGATGAAAAAGGGAAAGAAACTGAGCTTACCATCTAGAATCTAATACTTGTATCAAGTTAATAGATTGCCATCCAGAAAGTGTTAAATGCCGTCGTCAAGATTCATCAAAAAACGTCCAGTTTGTGCAAGTGTAGTTTAAGAAATACTGTTTAGTTTTGACATCGGTCATCTAGTTTATGAAACTAAATGGTCATAAACCAGACAACCAATATCAAAACTAAATTAAATGGTCATAAACTAGACAACCAATGTCAAAACTAAACAGTGTTTCTTAAACTACATGGTAGCAGAAACTGGGCATTTTTTTGATGAATCTTGATGGCATTTAATACTTTCTGGATGGCAATTTATTGGATGCGTGTATTAGATTCTAGATGGGTAAGCTCAGTTTCTTTCCTTTTTTCATCAAATCTGAATGATACCCGGTCCCTAGTGTATAGAGGTCACAATTTTGATCTGATTTTGATGAAACCTGAAATACATTTTTATAACCCAAAGATCTTGGTTCCTGTCGATATTCGTGCATATTGGATCGTAACTTCCTGAATTATGGCCCTTGAATTACGAAAAATCGTATTTGTAGTTTGTGGTCACAATTTTTATCCAATTTAAAAAAAAACGTGTGAATATATCGTGAAAATAGGACCAAAACTGCCTGACAAAATAGTGTAAAAGTATGTCATACCAAGGTTGTGGACCCTCTAGAGGTCACAATTTTTATCAGATTTTGATGAAACTTAAAATATATGTTTATGTCCCAAAGATCTCAGGTCCTTTCGCTATTTGCGCATATCAGACCGTAACTTCCTGGATTATGGCCCCTGATTGTACGAAAAATGGTGTTTTTAGCCTGTGGATTCTCTAGAGGGCACAATTTTTTATCCGATTTTAAAGACTGTTTAAATATATCACCATTCCACAATAATGAAGTTTGAATTCCAATTTCATGAATATCTAAATGAAGCTGCCCTGACAAAATTGTGTAAAATATATAATACAAAGGTTGTGGATCCTCTAGAGGTCACAATTTTTATCCGATTTTGATGAAACATAAAACCTATCTATATCTCAAAGATCTCAGTCCATTTCGATATTTGCACATTTCAGACCATAACTGTCTGGATTATGGCCCCTGATTGTACGAAAAATCGCTTATGTTTTTAGCTTGTTCTCTATCCATCTCTTGCAAAATCAATTTTGTCAAGCAGATTTCTTACAGTGCATATTAAACATTGTTTTAAAAAATGTCTTGATGCTAGAAAATATATGGAGAGAGAGAGAGAACTATTAATATTAAAAATGTGTGTAATTCCCATTGTAATACAATCTGGTTAAAACACAGATCCTATTTCGTTTCATTTTTATAGTTAAAAATTTCGTTTTACTTGTTTTTACTACACTTGGATCTGGAAGAGTTGTTATTTAACTCATGTTCTGAATGGTGTCAGGGATAAGCCAATGAAATGGTCTGTTACGGCGAGCTTTAGGCGTGTTTTGCACGGAACTGTGGGTAATCCACTAGTAACATCAATGCTGATTGGTTAATCAAGTGTCTGACGTCATAGGTCATAAGTCGGTCTTTTGACCCCTGACGTGACCCATGGCTATAACTTGTCAGATCTTCATGTAGTGTAGGCCATCGAAGGTATAAAAAAAACGAAACGAAATATACATCTGTATTTTAATCAGATTGATTGTAATAGTATTAACTATGTTTTAATACAAAGCATTAATGCAAAATAAAAATTAACCAATTAATTCTCTAATTAATATGTGTACAAAGTTATATTATATTTTGTCTGGTGTAAATAATGAACTGACACAGAATGTTTAAAGTGTGTCAAGGGGAATAACTCTTGATAAATACTTGATCTTGATTCTTTCAGGCTGTAGAACATATCCAAGGAATATATCATCATATAAGTAAAAATCTGTATGTCAAAGCAGGGGTAAGCGTATAATATTTTCTTGTCTTGCAATCTGTATTTCATATTAATATAGAAATATAAAAATTTAGAAATTTATACGAAACTATTTGGGTGTCTTGCAAAATAAAAAATTTAACTGTATTATAACTTGAAATTGATTTAGTTTGATTATTAATGGTAAATGATTTAATAGATATAACCAATACTGATACAATGATCATTATTACACAATAATATTGCCCTATTTTTAAGTAAGAAAAATCAATATTGGGATATCTTAATCAAAGTCTAGAGACCCACAGTGGCTAAGTGAGTAACACACAGACTTGCTAGCCTGGAGGCCGCGGTTTCACTTCTAGTGTTGGCTGAGAAAGTTCATCAGGATTTTTCAGTGTGGTTTCCCCTTGTCAGTGGTGCAGGATGTCTAGTCGTTCGGATGGGACATATAAACGAGGTCCAGTATACACACTTGACAGTTGGAGTTCGATATAAGAGTAGGCTGTAGCGCCGTTGTCTGAGCACAATTTCCCGCATAGCACACTGTATGGCTTATGCCTGACTTCATTAGCCGAGTCGGAGTAGGATGTTAAACCCATTTCATTTCTATTTCATTTATTCAACTTCTATATATCATCTTCAATAGAAGGCTTGATCTCACTTTAACTCTGTACATCTTGTCAAGGCCTTCACATAATACTCTGCATATTTCGTCACTAATTTCGATTCACCCGGCTCCTGAGCCTATCAGATTCCTCGTTCAGATCTCACACTTTCTAGCTAAAATGTCTACCTGTGATAATCAAGTTGCGAAGTTCAAAGTTCGGTTAATGTCAAGGTTTCCATGGAGGTCGCTATGGTTGATTTCATTGTCTTAGTGTCACAAAATCTGATTGGACGCTACTGTTCACGTGTCTGCAGTAAAGAGAGAAACCGTAGCTTTAAGTTTGCAAAGTAATCTAGCAATGTCCAGATGTTGTAAAACTTGTAGTCGTTGCTTCAGGAACATGATATACTATATAATAATTGTAATTTTCAGGTATCAGCTAAGTTTGTAAATGATATTGGTGCATTATGTCCTGTATTAGAAAAACCAGAACAAGGTTTAGATTTATTACAAGAAGCTATAACATCACTAGGTTTAACACCAGGAGAAGATTTCCATATAGCTCTTAATATAGCAGCTCATGAAATGTTTGATATGGTCAGTAGAATATTTATAAAATAAGATAACACTTTTATATGTCATGTACACATCCATTGAGATTTGTGTGATTAATGATTTATTTGATCCTATGTCACCACAATATTGTAAAAGTTTAATCACCAAAGATAATAATACCAGTTCAAAAATGTTTCAGTTCCGTTCGATATTAATAAAGATATGATCAATTGAAAATTTCTCAACATTTAACATTCTCTACATACAATATAATTATAAACAATCCAGTCTCCACCTATCATTCTCTACATACATTATAATTATAAACAATCCAGTGTCCAACTATCATTCTCTACATACATTATAATTATAAACAATCCAGTGCTACTATAAGTTTTGGGTAAAATTCAACCAGGAGATGTTTTGGTTTTAAAGAGCATGGATTAAGCTGTAAAGGTCAGCGGCTTAAAGATTATAATGTAAACAATAGATTTGATGAAATGTCTTTATCATAAATTATTCATGGAGCTCCTAAGAAAAAGGAGCAAGAAGATGATTTTATGATCTGGAGTCAATTACCCTTATCATGTCAAAGATCAGATATTAGATAAATGTCTGTATTATTTGATTCATTCCTTTATTTCTTGTATTCCGTTGATTTTTGCAGGAAAAAGGAAAATATGAAGTAATAGTTGGTCAGCTTAAGTCACCAGATGATATGGTGGATTTTTGGGCAGATATAATCAGTCGTTATCCATCTGTTATAGCAATAATTGATCCCCTCAGAAAACAGGTGTTTATATTTTTGTCATCTTTCTTATACATGTAGTAAATATACCAATTAATACAATATAGTTCATACTAATAATATGTGCAGGATGACTGCACAACACACAATTACATATATTACCCACAAGACGAACATGTGGATGAAACAAAAACACTGATACCAGTAAATTAACTTTTGATTATGTTTTATCTTAGGAAGAACCCCAATGGATGAAACTATGTGATAGAATATCAACACAGTGTTATATACTGGGTGATCATGTCTATCATAGACCAGGTCTATTAAAATCAGAAGAAATAACAGAATATTTTAAAACAAGTGGTGTTATATATAAACTAGAACATATGAACACTATTACAGATTTAATTACATGTGTTCATAAAATGGAAGGTATGTAAATGTTCATGCACTTTATAAATAATGTAATTTGGTCATCTGTATATGTTAAAACCATGCTCATTTGACATGCCAAAAGTTTAGTATCCACTCTCAAGACATTTTTTCAGTAAAATTAACGTAATATTACAATTTTTCAAGATCGTTTATTCTAAAAAATCTCAAAACATATAACTAGGTGAAAGTATAAAAAATCTAAGTTTTAAAATCTATAAGCATTGACTGCTATAAGGTCAAAATTGAACCATGTTGGTCCTGAATGACCTAGTTTGTGTTGAATGGACATTAGTTTGTGTTGAATGGACATTAAACCCCATTCCTTTCTCTTTCTGGCCATGATGCATACTGAACAGTAACAAGACATTTGTTTACTGACCACACTGCATAGTCCATATACATTTCGATTCACACTTGGATGAAACATACCAAGTAATCTGCTGTTTGCATTTATCAAAATTGAGTTATTCAAATGAAATGAAATGTGGTTTTATGGCACGTCAGCCCTAACAGGGCTATATTATGCCAAATAAAGTTATTCAAGGAATACAAGGTTATACAATATTATATTTCAGAAGGTAAAAATATTACTGTATTGACCACCAACCAAGGAGACACAACTGACAGTTTTATCACTGATCTTGTAAGTTGAAGTAATTTTATTCTATAAATTTGGGGTAATAAATTAAATTTCATTCTAGCACAACTAGTCTTTGCATCATTTGAGAGTTAAAATTGTATTTCCAGAAAAAAATGTTGTTTCTTTTCTTTTTTTTTTGTATGAGTACTCTTCATTATTTCAGTCTGTGGGAATTGGAGCCAAGTTTTTGAAACTAGGAGCCCCTTGTCGAGGAGAGCGCATAATAAAGTTGAATAGATTGTTACAAATTGAAGAAGAACTTCAAGATGGTGGTCAATTAGGTTGCCAAGGTGACCATGCTTTCCCAAGAATTGATCTTCCTCCCCCACCTGTTGGTGAAGAAGAAAATCAAGCTAATGAATCACCATCACCCAGAAAAGATACCAAAAAGAAATAAATTATAAATTTTAAGAATTTTCAATTTTATTTATTGTTATATTATTTATACTGTGATAATAAATCTTTCATAACTTAGTTGGTCTTCTTGATAATTATGTTTTTTTTTCCCAATTTCTTTAAGCACTACATACGCATCTGTATATTTTACTCATTTTTTAAAATAATAATTGGGCTGACACGGGTAGAATCATGTCCTGTTTATATATTTAAAATGGCTGGATCTCTTTGATCTGGCTCAAAAATAAATTGTCAATTTCAGTGAATTTCATGTTATTTTGTGGGATGACCATTTGTTTTTGTTAAAAATTTTACATCCATAGATAATCAGTTATTTTCCTACACTAATACTATTCAATCCACTAGGGAATGCTCTAGGTGCTAGAAAATTTTCTCACTTTGGATAGTTAATGATAGTGACTTATAACTTAGTTTTCACTTTGCATTTGATTCCAAGTTATTGGTAGGTACATCCAATAACAATTTGCCTTATCATATTGAGCATTTAAGATGATATATATCTCGATTACAAAGAAATCATATACACAACAAAACACTTTTTAAAAAGTAAAATTTTATTTTTTTTTAGAAATAATGTATAAATATTTTTTATGACCGGTCTGTAATATAACAACCATTATATACAAAATCAAATGTACTAAAAGAGAAATAATTCTTATGTCAATATTTTTGCTTTTTTATTTAGTTGCATTACATTATTTTTTTACAAGTTAATATAAGGTATGGGTCCATGTTGTAAAAACTTAAAGAAAAAGATTAAAGCTGTCTTTACATTGAGAAATGGTAAGCAGGTACACTACAATAAAAAATAAGGCACAGATTTCCATCAACCATTTTCTACTGGATCATTTTAGAAATTGAAGCAGCTTTCTTGACATCTGGCTAATATTTCAGTTTCAACCTTAGTGTTCAACACAACCCATAGGCATTAAATAAATGTGACAAGATAAGATGTAAGCTAAAATACCGGCCCAGTTGTACTAAGGTTAAAGTAGCTAAGTCTCTAACTCAGTATCATCAAAAATCTTCCACATTGAAAACGAGCCTAGGCATATTCCACAGGTCATGTCAAACGGTGACGCTATATTCTTATCTGGAGAGCATGCCCAATAAATACTATAATAAATAATAACTGATTAGAAATTACAGTAAAAACAGAAATGATTGAATGTAAATCAGTTTATATACATTCATATTACATTATTGTATGCATTGCGACCCATTTGTGTCAATTTCTAGGTCCCAAATATTAGCGATTTAGCTCCTTTAACATTGTATATCAGCCTCAACATATCACTAACAAAACATTAAATAAAAATACTAAATGTACAAAATTGTAAAAATGTATAACTGTTTTTAAAAGTAAGTTTTACAGATCTTAAGTTAATATTTTTGGTCAAATAGAATCCTGCCTTGTAAGTTTTTAAACCAATTTAGAAAAGAAATCAGAAAATGGAGTCGTAACTTCTAAATTTGCAATTAAGAAATTCTGAATATAGAATGAAAAAAAAAATCCTACCAAGATTAACAAATTGCACTGAGCAGTCTGTCCCTTATAACTGTCTGTTTGATGTTCACAAGTTTTCAGAGTTAAAAAAATGAATGTAGAGAGACGTCTACAAATGTAAAATATAAATTAAAACTAAGATTACAAGTCTAATTATAAATGAGAAGTTAACCGAACAATTTTCAATTACAAATTTTAGAAGTTCATCTTATGAACAATCGGATTAAATTTAAAAACAAATCCTGAGTATTCATATGGGCAAATTTGTATATACTCTTGATAACATATCAAACTTAAAAAAAAACGGTCATATACAGACCAATTCGATGAAGATTAAATACCAATAAAATATGTGACCTGTGACACCAAAATGAGTTGATTTTGTAAGTCATTATTTAACGATATGAACAAAAATTTTGAAATATGCTTAAACTATAATTTTTATGATGTAATCTGAAAGGTAAAAGTTAAGATTTAACAAATAAAACAAACAAGTATATTTCGACACCTTTTGTTCATGTCATAAAATAATGATTTACGACACCTGTTTACTATCACAGGTCAGATGTGATAAAACTACAACCATAAACAATCTACCAATGAATATGACCCCCCAAAAAAATAATATCATTAACTTTCACCAGAATCCATAGTTTCATACATCTTAAAGTTAATCATTCTGAAAAAAAAAAAAAAAATTTTTTTTAAAGGATATTAACATTACTCCATCCATTTATACATCCATCAGCATAGTGGCGCGAATCCTATTTTAAAAGGTTGGATAGTACAATTTTATTTCAATAATTCGCTTGCATGTAGGGGTCTTTAGCACTGGGAGGAAACTGGAGAAAACACACGAGACTGGACATGCGACCCTTCTCCTTGTCACGTACAACCGAGAAATCGAAATCACGCCAGTTGACTCGATGACAGATCTTATGATACAATGCACACGTGCTCATCAGCGTTGACGTTTCTAGTCGTTTACCTAAAGTTCCGTCCACCCCATGTCAAAAACTCGCAGTAACAGACCATTTCATTGACTAATCCATCACATCATCCTGAACGCGGGTTATATAACAACTCTTTCAGATCCTAGCATAGTAAGGTGTAAAACGAAATTTTGTGAACTATAAAAAACGAAACGAAATAGGATCTGTGTTTTAATCAGATTGGCTCTTCTTGAGACCTAGATTTCCGTATGCTAGGTTCCCACTATCACGATTCGCGCTACGATTGAAATCGTGGAGTAATCGTTGCGATCCTATCAGGTCTTATCATACGAGATACGGAGGTCAGTTGTAGCAATTGTACCAGATCGTGGACTCAATTGTCAATAGTGACAATCCTATCGTAACGCATCAAACTAGCAGTACCACTAGCTTGTTGGCTTTCTATTGCAAAGATATATTTAGTTTTTATATTTACCTTTTATTAATTCTCCTTTTCACTAACTTTTTTTATCTTCTGGAATGTTTTCTTTAATTCTGAATCAGGCAGACTTTCTCCATCTTCAACTGATAATAGATCTCCCATTGAACGATTTCTCTTCATACGAGTCTAAAGACATGGTAAACAAAAAATATTTTATTTGACAGATATAGAATTTTTGGGGATTTCTTTGAAACAGTGGGTGGTGGGTGGAGAATATTACTTTAGAGTGAGATCCCATGTAACTACCAGCTTAATGGAGACGTCCTACTTTTTTGCACCAACTATGCTAATGAAGACGTGCAGCTTAATAGAATCTCATCCATTTCAATATTCAGAAAGTTTTGAATCTTAAAAAAAAAAAAGGAGAGAGAAATGGGGTTTAACGTCCAGTTCACAGAAACCAGGTCATTTTGGGACTAACAGGGTTCAATTTTATTTCAATAATTCGCTTACGCTTTGGGGTCTTTAGCAGTGGGAGAAAAATGGAGAACCTGGAGAAAACCCATGAGGTTGGACAGGCAAACCTCCTCCTTGTCACGTACAAGCAAGGAATCAAAATCATGCCACTTAACTCAATAACAGACCTCATGATCTTAAGTGCATGCATTAAGCAATTTGATCACCCTAAACATAAAGGGACACAATACTTGGTTATTTCCTTTAAATCAGGTCGTACATATATCACTAGTAACAGGTCATACATATATCACTAGTATCAGGTCATACATACTCAGTTTCTAATGAGGGAGAATGGGGTTGAACGTCCACTTGACATTTACCATAGTATTTGGATCTGTGAAGAAAACAGGGACACGCAGAAATCCCACAAGGTTAGGCTGATGACCCTGCTCCTTATCAAATATAAATCTGGCATCAAACCCATGACTTGCATAGGTCAATTGCAACCTCTGCAGTGTCAGAACTATCTGTGTCAGTCTGTGGTGTGTAATTCCTCAGTGAATAGTAATTACAGCCAATGAATTTATTCTTAAAGATACCTTCCCGCATACAAACTGGGTGATTTGATAATATATATGGACTAACATCATATTCAAACTAATTAATCTACCAAAATTTTGCTTCAAAACATTAAAAGTCTATTAAAAGAAGTCATGTTTGTGTCACATGACTTGGCTGTCGTGGCACCTAGCAACAGGTGCGAAGCTACAGGAGAATTCATTGTATGTAAAAGACAATAGACAATGTTGTCTTTAATCACTGTCCATTTATCATAAATATCAAAGCCTAATTAAATACTTGGATTATCTACTACCCACCCATGTCTTTTCTATGTTTTTTTTCTCAGAAACTGTTGCACGTTTAAGTCCCTCAGTTCTTCCTAGTCCGCTCACCAAGTTTATCAACATATACATCAAGCGCTCCCTAATGCTGAGGGATCAGACAATCTTTGCGTGCCACCGTTAACGGCCCTTAATCGTCGGGCTGTCAATTAGTGACACCCTCTCATTTTTGTTCTGTGCTCCATGGATGTTTTTCAGGAAATCCAGTATTTTTCTAGTAAGATTGGGTGTCTCTACTTTCCATATATACCAAAATTGTAATACTTTTATTGGACTTGCAATGAAATGAAATTTGGTTTAATGTCCTACTATTCTGCTCCGAACTGAGCTAAAGAAGACGGACATACGCCATACAGTGTGCTATGAGGCACTACGGCCTACTCTTATATCAACTTCCCAACTGTCAAGAGATCTTTTACGTGCACGCCAATGTGTACACGGGACCTCGGTTTTTCATCCCATCTGAACGACTAGACAGCTGTCCTTGTCAGGCCCTCCGTCCTGCATCACTGACAAGGGAGAGCCACGCCGGAAAATCTGGATGAACTTTCTCGGCCAATGCAGGGATCGAACAGCGTCTTACCCACTTAGCCACTGTGATCCCTCTTTTATTGGAAATAACCACCCGATAAATACTCTTGTGGGAATGTATCTTTAAGATACTTACCAACATATCATGAAGTTCTTCTACAGCAGCCTTTTCACCCTCTGGACAAGATGGCTAAAAATAAACAATTCAAGTCAAACCTGTAATTCCAACCAGCAAGAGGCTGAGTAAGCATATTCTTTCAAGAACACCTAATACCCCTTATCATAATTTATTTGTGAAATTCACAAAAAAAAACAAATATTATACATATACATGTACATGATAATATTAGGGAATGCAATACCTACATATCTACGTTTTATCTGCATAAATATTTACGTTTCTAAGGATAAGTTGATTTATAAAGATTATTGGAAATGAAATGAAATCTGGTTGAACATCCTACTTTTCTACACAAAATGTAAGATTGAATATATTATTGATACGTTTTGACATGTGCATCAGGTATGCAGTATATGCTGCACAATCCTTGTAGAACACATGCTATCACTTCCGAGTTATCTGGGAATATTTCTATATATAATAAATACTACTTACACGTCTATTAGTAGGTTTAAGTACAGGTCGTAATGTTTGATTACCCCGTTTTATTCTGTCCATCATCTCATTAATGGCTTTATTATAATTTTCATCAGATTTAGCTCCGCTCACAGCCACTAATAATAATAATGTATGAATTATTTAAACTTTTTTCACTAATTATTCATGTACAGTGTAATTGTATACAGGTATATTTAATTGTATACAGGTATATTTAATTGTATACAGGTATATTTAATTGTATACAGGTATATTTAATTGATAACATACTTCCAAGATTATAAATTATATCTAGTTTTGTGATCATCATTTATGTTATTCTAGGTTACTGTTTTTAAGGTAAAATACACGACCCTGCAAAAGTCAAAATGAAATTTACTTTTAAAGTATGGCAAAAATGGCTTATTATTCAGGAGCACCTTATCTAGTGGGAATCTTATTTATATTAATGATCGTGACTATTTTCATACAATTACTTCTCAAAAACCTATTATATTTTATACTATATCATAAACTTACATTTCTTTGTTCGCTTACTCTGAGTCCTTGATAAAAATCTGAGAGAAAAGAAACAATAATGTTAAAATCATACTAAAACATGGTATATGATTTAATCGATCTTTCACTGGTATTTAATAAAAGCATTATACAACTACCTATATTCCTTATAGCGACAAATAACTCCATTTGAACAAATCTACACAAAATCCACCCTGGCAACATAGGGTACTAATCAACAATTTTAAAGAAAAAGTAGAACCCTAACTCTACCCATTGGCAATTGTTTATGGGAGCCAGATGCCAGACAGAAGTGCCGATATAAGCCTTTTGACCAGATTGTCTGAAGAGCTAAAGATAATATGTCAGATAGGAGCCTTTCAAATTATTTGATTGTCACAGGACAACTTGAGTACTGAGTAAAACTTTTAAAAGATTTAAAGATATATATATAATCTCTATAGGAATCGTAATCTAAGGAATGAACATTTTGTGTAATAAAACTTACCCTTTTGGTCTAAGTGCAGATATTGGTGGAAGTGGAGGAGGTGGTGGTGGGGGTGGGTGTAATACAAGTTCATACTTCTCTTCTAGTGCTTTATCTGAAATAAAATTTAAGCTTAAAATATTTATCCCTTTTAAGAACATTTAGCCTGTGTGTCATCTTCCTGGAGCAGGACAATTGACAGCAGTTGTCCTAGATCCCCATCTTCCATACCCAGTACTGTTCCAAAAGTTGCTTGATTTTGAACCCATTATTGTGTCAACTTTGGTGATTCAGACTCATTTGCATAATATGATGATGTCATCAGATGTGACCATCTTGAATTTATGACATTTAATAAATACTTAACATTAAATTGGATGCAACCATTTTAATTTTTTTATACAAATTATAATTTTTTATCACAATAAAAAGCATTCAATTATATATAGCCCCATAGATCATCAAAGTCAACTGATTAGCTGTGCCGATCTCAAGAACTTGTATACAGTCCTACAATGCAGAGGGCTATTCACATAACTTAAGCAATTTGACCCTACTCAGGAACAGTAGTTTCGGTTGGGGGCTGTTCAGAGATATATCACTTTTCTCTAATTTACTTATTAAAGGAACCGAGGTAGTCTTTATTTACAGCATCAAATCAGTCTGCCGTCATGACCACCATTATGTAACATGCAACAAAAATTCAAAGATTTTTGAAGAAAATAAAATCAGATCAATCAAGGACAGCATATTTTGCTTTTACAAGCCATACAATCATGCTACTTAATGAGAATATCTCAATTTTAAAGGAAGTCATATAGTTTCATATCTATCTAAAGTGTTATGGCAAATGTGGTAATTTTGCCAATTGTGTCACTTTAGGCCTGTATCTTGGCAAACATTATCACATGATTATTTTTTACACCTATATATTAGGGCTTTTAATTTGATTTCCTGGAATTCAAGTACTAAAAGAATTAATTAAATGAACATGTTTCTCACAACTTTTCTCAAAATAATCCGAACCAAAATGGCCTTTGACTAGAAATAAAAACTTGTTAAAAGTAATTATCACTTACATTGAGCTTCTAATTCCTGATACTGTTTTTGGTTGTCTGAATACTGGTTACGTATATCCATCAGTTGTGCTGTTAATTGTTCTCTTTCTTCGTGTAATGTTTGATTATCCATCTCTAATGTACTTATCATATCTTCATCTCTTAATTCCTTTAGCTCAGCTTCTAGACTCTTAAGCTGTAACAAATAATATACCCATATAAAATTTTACCATCATCCACATCTTTAACATTCGTCAAGACCCTTGACCTATACAAAATGGTTTTACCGGTAATCATTTTAATGTAACATGCGTCATTACCATTTTTTGCTAAAATTTCGAAGTTCTCACATCTTAATCCATGCTAATATGTACTCAGATTGATTACTTAACATTTACTTAAGAAAACAAGTAAAAATACCAATGCTAGATAATGTTCCAACTTGGATTCATTCGGACATTAAACAGGCCTATTATCAAATTTTCATGGACAACAAAATGGTGGCAGGCTTATTGCATAGCAAGCAGCATAGATTGATTACATGTCAATTCCATATAATATCATTGTAAGTACTGAACAGAATTAAACCATTATTGGACTTATTAGAGATTCATTTGTCACAATATTGTAGTTTGCAGGTGATTTCTCTTGCTTAAAATGGTGCATCAGGACTTTAAGCAAAAAGCTGTAATCTTTTTACCGGTCACCAGACCCATAATATTTCAGAATATAATTAGACCATATGCAATTCTTTGCTCACATAAATCATAAATTTCTACAATCTTATTTACAATAAATCTAGAAGGAGATAAAAATCCAAACCTTGTCTTCATATTCTTTTTTCTGAACCTCTTTTTCTTGTGTTAAATTTTCTACTTCTAATAAAGCTGTCATTAATCTCTGGTCGGAGGCAGCACTAGATATAAGTACAGCACTCTGTCTTTTAATAGCTTCACTTTGAGCATACATCTACATAAATATAAATTGTTTCAATGGTACATAGTAATTGAACTGGAATATACAGGTCACAATTCTATGGAATACAATTACTGCCTAGAGTGCCCTAGAGAAGCCTAGTCAAAACGTCGCAGTAATTGTATTCCATAGAATTGTGACCTGTATAAATATACAATCAATGGAGGGTATTTTTTTTAAAAAAAGACTTGATTCTGCCAGTATTTTTTTTTTATTGCAGCTGGCTCAGACAAAAATTTACCGTACAGTATGTCTTTAAACTAATTAACTAATTTTACTTTTCATGCATAAATAAAATGAAATGGGGTTTAACATCCTACTTTTCTACACCAGGCTAATGAAGACCAGAATACACCATACAGTGTGTTATGAGTGAAATATTTCCAGGATAGCGTTGCCACTGCATGCTCTTGTTTTAAGGGTTCTTTTACGTACACATCATGGTGTACAAAGGACCTTGGTTTTACATCCCATCCAAATGACTAGACACTGTCCTTGTCCAGCCCTCTGTCCTGCACCAGTGACAAGGGGAAATGTGCTGAAAAATCCCAGGAACTTTCTTGAACCCTGGACCTCCTGGTTAGTCAGTCAGTGCCTTACTCACAGAGCCACCACGGCTAATCATGCAAATTGACTCATGAGGGTAATAAAACAAAAAAATTAATTTAAAATTCAACAAAAAATAATTACCTCTGTAGCAAAGCTTTCCGCAGTATTTCTACATACATTAGCCATATCATATTCTTTCCGTAAATTCTCATATTCTTCACATGCTGCTTCAGATGCTATTGGTGGATTAATTAAGAAGATAACAAAATAATTACGTAATAATATTCATTTTATGTTTTGGTCCCTGTGAGACTAAAAATTAGTAACTTTTATCTCTATGGTGCAATGTGATTGAGAGAATTTTGTCTGGATATTGATGCCTTTACCTAATCCCCACCCCATCCCCTGACAAGTTAAGACCAAGCCTAAAAATTCCTGATGATTCTTCATGGCCAGGATTCAAACTCTAGATATGTTGATTAAGAGTCCTAAGCCTTGACACTATAATAGGACATAGTCAACCACTGGTAATAACAAGCTACATGTATATAGCATTGTTATAAAGATGTACAAAATCTAGTATATGTATCGGATCAAGTTCCTATTTACCTACCAGAAGTAACTTTTTGTAAGGCATCTTTATATTTATCTAATGATGTTTTAGTTTGACTTAATTCATCCTTTAATTTCTGATTCTGAAAAATAAACAAAGCATTGATATATAATCAACAATATATATTTTACGTTCTAACTTTTCTAAGCATTATGAAAATATATCTTGGGGTTAAATTGAAGAGACCGTAATGATAAGTTGCCTACTGTCTGTGTGTAAAACAAGAGTTTAGTAGAGTATTCTAGTATTGCAGGATTCTGGCGCAGTTTTCCCTTGTCAGTGGAGCAGGATGGAGGGCCTGACAAGGACAGCTGTCTAGTCTTTCGGATGGAACAAAAACAAGGTCCCGTGTACATATTGGCATAGGCCATAGTGCCACTGTCGGGCAAAATTTCCCTGATAGCACACTATGGCGCATGCCCGTCTTCATTAGCCCAGTTGGAGCAGAACATTTTATTTCAGTATTCCAGAAGCTAAGGTGACTCAGCAAGTATGATTAAGATGGCTCACTAGCCAGGCGGTCAAAGGTTCTAGCCCAGTATTAACCTTGTTTCCCTATGGTATTGGTGCATGAGGGTTGGCTGGAAAGTAAAAGCATTTAGTTCTTTAGATGGGACAAAAAAATCTAAGGTCCAGTGTATACTATTGATAGCATGAAAAAGACCCCCTTAAAGTTGACAATAGGCTGTAATGTCGCTGTTTGCACAAATTTTTCCTTTATTGCATGTTGCATGCATCTTCACTGTTACAAGTCACACCAGACCAAACCTTGGCCAGCGCAAACAAACATTACAAAAAAACACATGTTAGTCTTTTGTTAAATCTCACAATGCTGTAATGAATTCATAATAATGGAATCGAACTAACTAATGATATTCTGAAGATTATATTATATGACTCATTGAAAAATTGGCACCATTCCTAGTCTATTTGTATTTACATGTACATGTCTACATAGGCCTTTATGACACCTGGATGCAAGCCATGCATTATTTAAAAGTTATAAATTGAATAGGCAAGTCATTCTTTAAGCTCATCTGCCAATTTGTAATGGTATGTCAATTTCTTAATTTTGTTTATTGCTTAACCCTTTCAAAGTCCCCCTAGGATAATTAATTTAAGGAGAATGTGACCAAAATGATATTTATGACGCATAGCTGGTAAGAATGTTACTGCTGATCTTCCTCATAAATAGGTGATGAACAAACCTCTGTTTTAGTTACTGAATGTTTTTCTCGCTCTATATCGTAATCTTCTTTAACTTTATTCAAGATAGCTGATTGGTTACTTTTTTCCTCTTCCAACTCTATTGAAAAAAAAATAATACATCAAGTTTTATACTTCCTCATGAGTAAAATGATATTCACTTTGCTTGGAGCCAGAAACTCTATCAGCTTAAACTTGTTTTGAAAATGGCAGCATCGGGTGTGAGTGTTAAAGCAACTATTTCAAAATACAGAAGGCGATTTGATTGAGAAGATTTTTACTGGATCAAAGATAAATGTCTGGTTCTTATTCAAACTTCTGCAAGCTCAAGACATAGATGTGTAACATCACATAATATATAAAATTTTATTGAAATTGAATACATGTTGACAGAGAGAGAGAGAAATGGGGTTAAATATCCACTCGACTCAAACTAGGTCATTTCGTGACTAACATATGGTTCAATTCTATTTCAATAATTCATTAGCGCATGGGTCTTTAGCAGTGGGAGGAAACCTGACGGCCAAAGGAGAACATAAATGTTGTTCTTCATAACATTTTAATTTGAAACCTATTTTAATTCAATGGTCACATTAAAGAAGCATCCCAGATTCAACAGAGCAGATTCAATGGTTATATATAAGTATTACACACACATATACACCTATTATATTTTTTAAAATATATTTGCAACGAGAGAGAGAGAGAGAGAAATAGGGTTTAACGTCCACTCGACACAAACTAGGTCATTTCGGGACTAACACATGGTTTAATTTTATTTCAATAATTCGCTTGCGCGTAGGGGTCTTTAGCAGTGGGAGGAAACCGAAGGACCCGGAGAAAACCCACGAGGTTGGACAGGCGACCCTACTCCTTGCCACGTACAACCGGGGATTCGAAACCACGCCAGTTGACTCAATGACAGACTTTATGATACAGCGCGCGCACGCTAACCATTCAGCCATCCAACCCCCCATATTTGCAACGACCTCCTTAACACAGATATGGGCGTATAGAAAAAGGCATTCTCTACAAATATTTGTTCTTACAATTTTGGCTCTAGATAACATGAATATTAAACAGTTTTCTGCGGTTAGTTTTAAAAATTGAGTTTTGTTGAATTACCTATTTATATAGTTCTCATCAAATGTGAAAGAGAGAAATACAGTTTAACTTCTACTCAACACAAACTAGGTCATTTCAGGACTAACATATGTTTCAATTTTATTTCAATAATTTGCTTGCACATAGGGGTATTTTTTGCAGTGGAAGGAAACAGGAGGACCCGAAGACAACCCACAAGGTTCGACAAGAGACCCTACCCCTTGTCACATACAGGCAGGGAATTAAGACCTTATGGTCTAAAGCACATGTTAATTCATTTGGCCACCCAACCCCCTCTGATGAAATGTAACAGTCACAAGAATCTTTATTTATATAAATATATATATAATTATTTCACCTTTAATTTTTGCATTAAGTGTCTCCAAATAATTCTGATATAAATCTTTCTCCTCCTCAATAGGTACATCACCCTCATGTAAATCTAGAAAAGCTGCACTTTGTCTTTTTAATACTCTGTTCTCTTTTGTTATCTGTCAAACATAAAAAACATATAGCTGAAAAAGTCATGTATTATTCATAGATAATTATTATAAGCGCCAGAGATTTTCAATGAAATTTCTACTTCCTTATGACAACAGAATAATTTTGGGTTTAAAGGTCGTATAGCTCTATTCTGTGGAATAGACGAAAATGGGTCTAAAAGCATATATCAATGAAATATAAATGTTTATAAATGGATTTACATTCAATTTTTTAAACCTTTATTGTAATTTATATTCAATTACGTACATGTATGGCGAAATATGCAAACGGACGAAATTAAACGACAGTGGTATGCGTCTTTTTAGTCCATTCTACATTGGGGGTTTTATTATTATCATTTTGTCGTTTGTAAATCAGCCCTTTTTAATTACTTATGCATTATCTTCTGGGATATTTTTCTCTTTTTTTCATAACAAATGGCGCTTGAACCCATTATGTACCCTATGAACATTATCAGTATGCAAAGTTGTGTACTACAGAACTTTGCATACTGATTTTAAAATGTTTATTGTGTCTTAAATATTAGATATTAGGATCCTGTATTTTCACCGTAAAATAATAACATCCATATTGATTGAAATGGATCAATATTAAATTCTAATTCATGTCTTTACCTAGATTGTAGGTGAACTAAGAGACGGGTTTTACATACATGTAGGCTAAGCCTCTTCCCAAATCCCATTCAGATATCCTGCATAAAAATATTGTTTAAGAAAAGATATTTTCATCATTCAACTGAATAAAATGTCTTTCTGTACAATCAATAAAATATATTAAAAAATCAAAAGAAATCTTAATACGACAACGGAACAGGGATATTAAACTTACTTTCCCATTCACATAGTGGCATTCATTATATTTTTCTTTTATGTAATTTTTATGTGGTGTAAAATTATAAAATATATTGAAAGAGGAAGTTAAATAGTTTTGAAAGGAAGTAAGGTAATACTGTTTCGCATGTATAAACAAACAATGTAGACTTTGTATCTTGCACAACAAGGTACATTTTGTAATGCTTATGTATTCAGGTATTTAAACAGGATGAACAATTTGTGGCTTCATTTCTATTGGTAATTTGATAGGTTTATTCATAGTTAACAAATATATGTTAGTTATTAAGGGATATAGTCCACCTATTTCTACATTCTAACAATAGATCCACGACAGATACTAGAATCCAGAACTAAATTAAAGATTGCTTTCATGATGTTCACTGGAGGAACCAGAACTAGTAATTATCGGAATAAAAATTTCAAGCACATTTTTTGACGTCATCTTTCTGAATTTTGACTTCAAAAGCTTAACACAGGTCAAATGCCATTTCTCTATCTGAAAGTCTACATTATGGAATATTGGGCCTGTGAAATCATCTAGAAATTATTAACAAGTTGAGAAATGAATTCAAAAATAGAATTTTACCTGAGAAGCATATTTTTCTGCTTCATGTCTACACTCTTGTTCTATTTCATATTTTTCTTTTAATGATGCATATTCTGTATAGACTGGTTCTAACACTGTTAAATATACATATATACAAATATAATTACTGTAATGATAGATTATTGTAGATCAATCTTTTAAAAAATAAAAAAAATTACTCTTTGATTGTTATCATCTTTTTTCTAGCATGTTAGTTAATACCTGAAAATACTTCTTGCATTTGGAAAGCAAACCAGATATTGGTCAAATTATTCTTGCATTTAGGGTTTAAGTTAAAATGCAAATTTAAATGTATTTTTTCCATATAAACACTGTGATATATCATTGAAATGGCCGAAAAAAAAGGTGTTTAAATTGCTGGAAGTCACCTCCGGTGAAATGTGATTGCTGGAAGTCGCATCCTGTGGAATGTGACTACACGTCTCCTCCAAAAATTTATGAAAAATAGAATACTGCAAGTGTGTTTTCCTGCAATCCCAAGCCGTGAGTCCCGTGGCTTCGGAACCGAAATCTCACTCTATGCCCACCTAAATTCCAGATGTTGTAGGGAGAAGGGGCAGTAAAGAAACGACCATAAAAATTTCTGCTCAGATTCCTCGGAGCTACAACCAGCAGAGCCGGACACCAGCTTGTGGGCTATGTAAGGATTTATCTCTCACAGAAAATTTATGAAAAATTTATAACACAAATAATAATCGATGCCCGAAAACTGACCAAAAATTCATGGGATTTTGGGCACATTATTGTGCTAACTAATAGGCAAAAAGGTTTTTTCCCCCCCGATAATTATTTCAATAATTTTTTTTTATTTTACCCATCTGCCGAAAAGTTTGGGGTGCAGCTACCCACAGCTTGTATACCTATATATGAATGGGGGTAGTTTCCTCCTCTAGGCAAGTTTGTAAAACCGGGGAACTTAGTCATTATTTTCCTGGAAATCTATCAGCCTGCTTTAATTTTGGAAGAGGCTGTCGACAGGGCGATCCCCTATCACCATATCTCTTTCTGCTCTGCGCAGAGGTGCTAGGCATTCTTGTAAGAAACGAAAACTCAATCCAGGGTATAACTTTATTCGAGACAGAACTAAAAATTTCACAATATGCTGACGATACCTCTCTTCTTTTAGATGGCTTAGAAATATCTTTAAGATCAGCACTGAGAATCCTAGAAACTTTTTTCAGTCTTTCAGGACTAAAAATGAATATTGAAAAAACAAAAGCAGTGTGGATAGGTCAGAAAGCAAAATCCTTTGACAAAATATGTAGGGATATTGAATTAGATTGGACCGACACCTTTACTTACTTAGGCATCAAATACAGTATTGAACTACACAATATAACTGTTATCAACATTGATAGCAAAATAATTGAAATAAAGAAACTTCTCAATATATGGAGACAGAGATCACTTAAAATCTTAGGAAAAATATGTGTCTTAAAAACTTTAGTAATCCCCAAGTTAAACCATTTTCTAATGTCATTGCCAAATCCTACAGATAAATACTTCAAAGAAATTGAAAGATTAATGTTTAAATTTATTTGGGGTAAAAGCAATGATAAAATTAAAAGAGATCAAATGGCCCAGGCATATGATATAGGTGGTCTTAAAATGACAAAAATAAAAACATTTACTAAATGTCTCAAATTAAGCTGGATAAGGCGCTGGTGGAGCCAGAATAGTTCTTGGACAATATTCCCAGACCAATATTTTGGAGGTATCGGGGATATCCTGAAGTTAGGCCCCAAATATATGGCAGAATTGGCATCATCAACAGATAACCCATTCTGGAAAGACGTCATTTGGGCATACCATGATTTCCTGAAAGGTTTACTTTATGACAATAATACTGATATCAGTGAGCAACCATTATGGTATAACTATAATATGAAACTTAACCATATTCAAAATTGGCATAATAATGGTGTGAGTTTAATTTCGGATTTGATATCCCCAGAAGGAAAGTTTTATAAATATCAAGAATTGAAGGATATTTACAAAATTAAAGGTACATTCCTTGACTACTATAGGGTAATGGCAGCAATACCAAAATCATGGAAGAAAAAGATAGAACTGTCAGAACCAAAAATGATAGGACCAATAAAAAAACCTTTAATTCTTGAGACTTTAACGAATGCTAAAAAGGGCTGTTCAATTTTTCAAAAGCCATTTGAATCAACAATTGAATGTAATAAAAAAAAAGAAGATTAAATGGAAAATAGATATTGGTCATGAGATTAAAGATGAAACTTGGAAGAAAATTTTTATGATTCCATGGAAATGTACTACAGAGACAAAACTTATAGAATTCCAATTCAAAATTGTAAACAGAATTCTAACCACCAAAACATTCTTGTTCAAAATCAAAATAACAGAAAATAATCTATGTTCATTTTGTGAAAAAGTACCGGAAACACTAGAACATTTGTTTTATTCTTGTTCTATCTCACGAAAACTGTGGATGGATTTAAAAGAGTGGTTACAAATATTGCAAGATAAGGACTACTCTAAAGCTAATGTTTTATTAGGAAACCCTAATGCATCCATTCTATGGAATCATGTTATTTTAATAACAAAATATTATTTATACAGATGTACTCAAAATGATTCAAGACCATCATTCAAAGTTCTCTTAATAAATATTAAAGAATATTACAAAATTGAAAAGTTCTTTTCCAGGCAAATAACAAAATAGAAAAATTCCAACAAAAATGGGGCCCTTTAATTTAAAATATTAACTTAATAATATAGGGCTTGCCTACAGTTCATATGAAAGTATTAGAGATATATCTTCGCCAATTTATGTAAGGTCTAGTATTATGTTGTGAACATTACGGCAATTTACTTCCTGGTCAATGCTACCCATAATGATATTATTTATATCACAGTATTTATTGGCACGCTTACATATTGCCCACTACTAACAATCCCTGCTATATTTAGCATGGACATTTCTATTTCTAATTTAAAGGGTTAAACACAACCAAGTACAAACATGTGTTTCGGTCAAAAAGGCAAATAGAAAGAAATTATCTTGCATAACCTGATTTTTGATGTTAAACATACAACATGCATTAGTGAAACAGTTAATCGCATATACATTTACTCTGTAACTGGATAATAATTCTAGTTAGAAATATAAACCTGAATTTTAACTAAAATAAACAGTACATGGTAGATATTTGTACTGAAGTGTGAACAATAGGTTGACTTTATGTTACTAATTTATATTATGAGTCACATCCTCACTGTGGACAAGTTTTATCAATTGATATCAGGTTTTCCCACACAATAATTAATCCTGAATTAATACTCATAGTACAGAATATTTTCCTAGTAAATAGATCATAGATAAACTATTATCATCCATCTTTCTCTGGCATAAAGCCTATGATATTCGTGAAAGAAAAAAAAAAAAAACAGTAATTACACGGATGAGTCGACAAAGAAATTGTTAGCAATTAGGAACAATCGTCATTCCTCAAAAAATTCTGATAATGTCTGGATTATTAGAACTTGTACTCATGTACATGTGGGTGGGAGGGTTAAATTATTAACTGACCACTGAACTAAATATTATCCATAGACTTGAGGCCAGTCTACGGAACAACTTCCGGATCCAATTCCCCCCCCCCCCCCACAACCTCTTTGACACACACACACACACACACAACAGACAGATTTATTTTCTCCAACAGAAAAAATGACAACATACTTGTAATCACAGTTTTTAACTAATTTAAACAAACCTCACAATTCGATCATTATGGAAACTTTAGTTACAATGACCTCAGGTGAATTCTTTAATCGATGTAAACTGTTGTAATTGGTGTAGATTACATAATTTATATAGGTAATAAGCAAAAATACAACTCAAAACATTCTGCCTTGATACCCTTGCTATTCTGTCTTTCATAGAGGGTCCCATACATACGTGCCTACAACCCCAGCCCCACAGGCTGTAATCTGCATTATTAACCTTTTAGTTTAATATACATTTGTACATGGAAACTTACATTTTCTAACATGTAATAACTGTTTTTCTCTTTCTTCTAATCTGGCAGCTACAACTTCATACTGTTCAAAAAAGGGGATAAAGCATATTTTATCAGCACAAAAGTTTTTTCCATATTTGATTTCAATGTGAGTAGATTTTCATACAAACAAATCTAAAGCTCTGAGTACTCTATTGTTAAGGTATAATTGAGTTGACTAAATGCCATCATATGAGTGTTATCAAAAATAATCATCTTCTTCCTGTTTCAATAAAAATTATTACTGAAATCTTCCTCTTTACAATTAGTAATACCTATTATGCTATCATTGCTATTATGGTGAAAATTAAAGATTATAACCACGACTTTCATAGCATATTAAGTTCCTTTTAATTGATTGACAACAGTCTGAACAGTAAGCTTACTATGGTGTAGCTTACATGTAAATAAACAATGTACTTTCCTCTGTTTCTATAAAATTGATTACAGATTATATCTCCCAAACATATTATCATAGGTGTACAGTATTTGACTAGTAGTCGGGTCACAGGTTTTGGTGCCCGACTTACTCCATTTTGCCCAGATATCTATATAAAAGTGAATTTAAGAGCTCTTTCGAAGGATATGATTTAGATTCTTATACTATAATTTTAAGTGGGGCTATAGTAGCCCCCATTTCATCGACCCGATTCACCTATAGCCATAGCTAGGCCTGTTATCTGTATAAGATAAGATAAGATAAGATTTTTTTTATTGTATCTAAACACCCCCATCGTCAGTGCATATTATTAGGGAAGTTTATACTGATCCTCACTTAAAATTGGGTATTGGTTGATAGGAAATAAAGTTAGACCATACAATAAAATACTTTACACTATAGTATATGTTTTAATTATTACCTGAGTTTCATTTTCTTTAAACTTTTTAACCACCTCTTCGTGTTTTTCTATCACTGAAAATTGCGGAATAAAAAAAAAACACTTATGTTGACAGTTAATGAAGTTTTCTCGAGCTAACCACCTAGCTGTACGCCCACGGGCTATAAATTATATAAACTCGTAAAATATCTGCCACACTGTCCGATCTAAATGAATCATTGCATTAATTTAAAAACTTGTATTAAAATACTTGTTAAAGCTAAACGTATTATTAACCGTATGTCTATATTTAGATAGACCACGATAAAATGCACCGTGGAGTGAATTAACTAATTAAGAGGGGGCGTGGCAGATCAGAGGATTCAACAATATTTACAAATATAAACAAACCTTTAAAACAGTGTTCAGATAATATCTTCAATTGTTTCTCCTGTTCTAAATATTTCTCTTTCCATTTATCATTTTCTGTAGCACCCATCTTACTGGACAAATGTGAACAAACTAATTAACTTCCTGAAGTCAATTGGAGAAACAAGCTATCAACTGTTCTTTTTCTTGAAAATAAATGAGGACATCCCGACACATCGTGATCGTGACCCCTCGAGTAAGTTGACAGTAAAACTTTAAACCAATCAACAGCAATTATATATAGTCTCGACTATCGCGTATTTTTAATCATTGGCAAATTTATTAAGCCCCTACTACCCAATACATTCGTTGTCATAAACTTCTTACTACTGCTTGACTATATATTATAGTATATATATAGTCAAGCAGTAGTAAGAAGTTTTATTTTAATCCCTTCAAGTGTCTGTGATATTAATTCATATCGGAAAGGAATTTTACCGGAAAGCGTGTTGACTGACGCACAGATAAAACTATACGGATATACCAGATACATGTTTCACCTCAAACCGCGAGCCAAACAATCTATAATATATCTAACAAGGATGTTTGTTTATGATTTGATAAATAAAGGTATGCCAGTAAAAACTTAAAGCATCAGTCCCAGATAGGCATATATAAAGTGCCATAAAGACGCTTGCGAACATTCAACCTTAGTATAACGCAACTAATCCGAAGCAAATGTAGCGATCATATCCAAATGGTTCAATATTTTAATTTTAAATAGCCAAACAAGAGAAATAAACTAATTATAAATTTTATTATCGTAACATTTTGGCGTTTGGTTTATATACACGCACAATTATTTACGGTGCCATGAATGACATATTTATCGTTAGCTAAGTTCACGCATAGGGGTGGACAAGGACAGGTGCTCTAGTCGTTCGGACGGGACGAAAAACTGAGGTCCCGTGTACACATTGCATGGCGTGTACGTAAAAGATCCCTTTCCAGTTGGAATTCGATATAAGCGTAGGCCGTAGTACCGCTGTCCGGGCATAATTTCCCTCATAGCACACTGTATGGCGTATGCCCATGCAGTTCGGAGCAGAACAGTAGGACGTTAAACGCCATTTCATTTCATTCAGTTCACGCATGGCAGTCTTCTCACGAAAAACTCCTCCAGGGGCGGACCAGGAATTTGTGCAGGAGGGGGTTACAAAAACACGGTGCTAAAAAGAATCCACTTATGTCATTCTACACAAAGATCCATCTACTTCATTCCTCGAGAATAGATCACTGCTATGCCCTAAATGGCCGCCATATCCAAAAATTAGTATAATGTTTTTTAATGCGCTTCTCCGTTTCACATCCGTCATACTAAGACTAAACAAACTTTTTCAATTTCGTTAAATGGAAGTAGAATAGTATACTCAACCAAATTCTCGATGTACACTAAGTGTTTTTGACTAAAATCGTCGATTGTGGACTTAAAACTTAAAATGCCGGTCAACTAGCTTAGTCAGACCCGTAGCTAGCGGAGCGCCCCCCCCCCCGGCGCCCCATAAAGCCGAGTGGCACTGGTTGGGCGCCCACAACGGGATTGGCGGGCCGCCCAGCCAATGTCACTTGGCTTTATAGGCGCCTCATGATGAATCACGATTAACACCACGAACTTGGTTTATATAGGGTGCTCAAAAGGGCGTGATCTGTGGGGTGCCTTATCCCGGAGGGGTGCCCATGAGACATGATCGCTGGACGCCTTATAATAACAATATATGATTGTCTGGCTGCAAATAATGTATTCCTTCCTTCAAATTTTTATAATGTACATATCAAAATATCATAATACGCCAATATCGCAAATTTTCATAATTTCCCTCCTCTGATGCAAACCGTTTTCCAAAATTTTCTGGGGGGAGGGAGAGCACGAAGGGAGGCGCATCGGTCGTCGTGGATCGTAAAGTGTAGATACATCGACGCCCCCAGAAGCGCTTGCCCCCCCCCCCCATCTCTCAAACATTTTTGGGCTAGCTATACGGGCTGTCAGTATCAGTTCTCAAGCGGGGCTATATTATAATTGTAGACAGACAGCCTGCAGTTTGGCTTTATGTGGGTTGCATTTATTTCAGCTCCATTTTAAGTCGCATTTATTTCATGACACATTGAATTTTTGTCTCACGGTATGCATTAACTGATCGACCTGCCAAAAACGGAATCATTACTGCACAATCATGGTGTCACCTTTAATGTGTAGTAACTCATCGAATCAACCGTTCATTCTGATTTTCAATTTTTAGCCAACACTTTTTTAAAAAATGCTACGTGTAATGTGGGGTTATCGGGTTAGCAGTATGGTCATTTGTTCGTTCGTAGGGATTTACGTCCGTTTCCACCTTGGGTGATATCGCAGAAAATGCAGTATGTTCAGGAGAAAACCACGAGGAAACGAAATCATGCCACTTGACGCAATGTCAGACCTTGTGATCTAAAGCGGACAAGTTAGACCCCCACCCTACCCCCTCTCCAATTCTAACGCGAAGCGCAATGAACGTTACCCCCACCTCTCTCTCTCTCTCTCTCTCTCTCTCTCTGCCCCCCCCCACCACGGAACCGCATTGCCCCAAAGCACAGACAAAATAATAAGCTCTGGTATTGACGGTAAGAGACGTCTGGGTTGTCATATAATTTTTAAATGATGAACTACCCTCGTCTTGTTACTTGTTAATAATATATTAAATTGTCATGGATTAGAGAATTTAAATCCAATAAGTCAATTTCCTACGACATAAACCCAAAGAGGGTGTTCGTTGAACTGTATTTATCGTTTTATAACCCAGAGACAGGATTCGTAGAATTACATTTGATATTATGACGTCTGAATAAAATGTAATCTCACTGGAACTCAAAACTTTTGCGATGAAGACAGGTTAACGTTCACCGAAGAAAAGAATGCGCAAAACATAATAAGCATAGTGTTAAGTTTGAGCAGAAATTAGAAAATTAAACAAGACTCACTTTTGAGTTGTAAGGAGCTCACCTTGGCTCTAAGATTGGTATAAATCTATAGAATGAAACAGTGATCCTTCACTGTTTGTCCATTGATCGCAACCTGTAAGTCAGTCATCATTCGACCAGGATAAAGTTAATCAGACGGGATCAGAGATGGGTTTACTGTCTTCTTTATTTCTTATATTATGTCTTTCTGTTAAGGTAAGTCTTTATATTTTAAAAGAGTTCACTTGAATATTATTTCTGTCTACGAAATCCGTATTGTTCATGTTAAGGACAGCGGTAAGATTTTAAAAACACCCGAAGAAAAATAATTAATTTAGCTATACTATATCTTAAAGCCATAAAATGAATTTTCTACAGTTCCCACCAGCTGGATTACAAAAAGTTTTTTTTTCTTTGGCACCCGGGAACTAATTATTATAATAAATCTGTTTGTTTTTTGGGTTTTTGTTTGTATTGTTCATCCCCTATTGAATATATAATGTTAAGCTGGATCGTGTATCTCCCCAAGGTTTAACATATCTTGTAATTTTGCCGCTTTTTTCAGAATTGGTTTTGGAAAAAAGTTGACCATTTTCTTAAGAATATAGGGTTGGGCGTGAATATAAATATACTGCAAATAACCATAATATTTAGTATTGTCCTGACACATTTATTATATAAACTAGCGTTAGTTATTAACGTAAAAAGGAGCCACGGTGGCTAGGTGGTTAAGACGCTGGCTCGCTAGCCTGGACGTCGGGTGTTCGATCCCTGCATTGGCCGACATGGTTTCCCCTTGTCAGTGGTGCAGAACAGAGGGCCTGACAAGGACAGCTGTCTAGTCCTTCGGATGATACGAAGAACCGAGGTTCCGTGTATACATTGGAATGCACGTAAAGATCCCTTGGCAGTTGGAATTCGATATAAGAGTAGGCGATAGTGCCGCTGCCCGGGCAAAATTTTTCTCATAGCACACTGTATGGCGTATGCCCAGTATAGGAGCAGAACAGTAGGACGTTAAATCCCATTTCATTTATTAACGTAAAAATGAAATATTGAACTCAAGTATGTTGATCTGATGTGATTAGTGATGAGCCAAGTTCACTGCGATTACATTCTTGTTTAAAAGATAAAGATGGAGTGCTTGTTTACTAATTTTAGTTTAATGAAAGCGACTGTTTACATCTTACAGAAGCATTGCTGCTTTGAACAACTTCGCCTGTGACTGTTAGTAAATAAAAATTGTTAACCACAAGTTTTCGGATCCAGGAATTTTCTTTTAAAATTACAAATGTTATCATGCAATATGGGGATCACGTGGCTAAGTGGGTAAGACGCTGGTTTGCTAGCCTGGAGGTCGGGTGTTCGATCCCTGCATTGGCTGAGAAAGTTCATCCAAATTTTCCGGCGTGGTTTCCCCTTGTCAGTGATGCAGGACGGAGGGCCTGACAAGGACAGCTGTCTAGTCGTTCGGATGGGACGAAAAACCAAGGTCCCGTGTACAAATTGGCGTGGGTAAGACGCTGGCTCGCTAGCCTGGAGGTCGGGTGTTCGATCCCTGCATTGGCCGAGAAAGTTCATCCAGATTTCCGGCGTGGTTTCCCCTTGTCAGTGATGCAGGACGGAGGTCCCGTGTACAAATTGGCGTGCACGTAAAAGATCCCTTGGCAGTTGGAATTCGATATAAGAGTAGGCCGTAGCGTCGCTGCCCGGGCAAAATGTTCCTCATAGCACATTGTATGGCGTATGCCCGTCTTCATTAGCCCAGTTTAGGAGTAGAACAGTAGAACGTTAAACCCCATTTCATCATGCAATATAAAAGGCACACGTCATGCCAGTCAGAGGGGGGTTGGATGGCTGAATGGTTAGCCTGTGCGCGCTGTATCATAAGGCCTGTCATTGAGTCAACTGGCGTGGTTTCGAATCCCCGGTTGTACGTGACAAGGAGTAGGGTCGCCTGTCCAATCTCGTGGGTTTTCTCCGGGTCCTCCGGTTTCATCCCACTGCTAAAGACCCCTACGCGCAAGCGAAATATTGAAATAAAATTAAACCATATGTTAGTCCCGAAATGACCTAGTTTGTGTCGAGTGGACGTTAAACCCCATTTCTCTCTCTCTCTCTCATGCCAGTCAGTAGTTTAGAGTAGTTATACATAATATAGTATACTAGCAGGATACCCGGCTTCGCTCGGGGGTCAAAACTCCGAAACCGGAAGTGGTAGACTAACGCCACCTGGCCTATGTTACTCCCCGGTCCGAGCTACCCCTATACCCCAAATTTCAGACTCGGGGCAGACTTAGTGTACCCACCAACCCCGAACAGACCGGCTTCGCTCGGGGGTCATAACTCCGAAACCGGAAGTGGTAGACTAACGCCACATGGCCTATGTTACTCCCCAGTTCCGAGCTACCCCTATACCCCAAATTTCAGACTCGGGGCAGACCTAGTGTAGCCGCCAACCCCGAACAGACAGACAGATACCCGGCTTCGCTCGGGGGTCATAACTCCGAAACCGGAAGTGGTAGACTATCGCCATAAAATTGTACCTTGTGTTAACATTGAGATACATTTTAAAATGAATCTGATTAAAACACAGATCTTATTTCGTTTCGTTTTTTTTTTTAAGGTTCAAAATTTCGTTTTACTTGTCTTTACTACATTAGAATCTGGAAGAGTTGTTATATTATCGGCGTTCTGGTTGAAGCGAGGGATTAGCCAATGAAATGATCTGTTACGGTGGCCTACACTACATGAAGATCTGACAAGTTGTACTGGAAGGTCGTGTCAGGGGTCGTACGAGCGGCCTTTGACCTTATGACGTCAGACACTTGATTAATCTATCAGCATTGACGTTTCTAGTGGTTTACCCACAGTTCCGTTCATAGCACGCCAAGAAGTCGCCGTAACAGACTGTTTCATTGGCTTATCCCCCCGGTAATATAACAGCTCTTTCAAATCCCAGTGTAGTAGAGACAAGTAAAACGAAATTTTGAACTATAAAAAATGAAACGAAATATGATCTGTGTTTTAATCAGATTGTCTAATTTCTAACTTCTATTCATGTAATTTCTAAATTAAAACAATTTTAATCCAATTTCTTTATTTGTTCAGCGTCGATTTTAGATCTATTTCATCTTATTTCTATTATTAAGACGAAAAATGTCTTCTTCATTAAGGCTTTACACGTTTGGCGCGAACATCGAAAAAAATTAGAATTTTTTACATCCTGCCTAGCAACCATCGTTATGAATATAATCCTTGAGTGGCATTTAGCGATTGAGCACATTAAAAAACACAACACAATTTATATTGGAAGCAATCACTGGTTTATACACATATAGCATGACGTTTCGACAAGCATTCTCTTATCGTTTTCAAACGACTTCATAACGAGGAAAAAGAAAACAACACAATTTATATGGAAAACAATCACTGGTTTATAGGCTATAGCACGACGTCATACAGTGTGCTACGAGGGAAATTTTGTCCTGTCAGCGGCACTGTGGCCTACACTTATATCGAATTCCAAGGGATCTTTTACTTGCAAGCCATTATATAGGCGAATCCTAGGTTTTCGTCCCATCCGAACGACTAGACAGCTGTACTTGCCAGGCCCTCCTTCCTGCACCACTGACAAGGAAACCACGTCGAAAAATCCCAATGACCTTTCTTGACCAATGCAAGGAGAAACCACGACGGAAAATCCCTATGAACTTTCTTGACCAATGCAGGGATCGAACACGTACCTCCAGACTAGCGAGTCAGCGTCTTACCCACTTAGCCGCCGTGGCTCTAAATTTGTTCGACGTTCATGCTACACATGTAAAGCGACAATGAAATAGACTTTTTTCGTCTTAATAATAGAAATAAGATGAAATAGACTTAAAATTGACGCTGACCAAATAAAGAAATTGGATTATACATTGTCTTAATTTAATATGTACATGAATAGAAATTAGACAATAGCACTTTGGTAGATAAATTAACTTGAATATGTTTTTCTTCCTTTGTGCTCGGGAAATCATCTTTAAGTACAGTAATTTTCTTAATAATACCCCTTGAAACACTATTAAGGGCGTTTAATTTTAATAACCACCGAAAACCATAAATTGTAAGCCAGGTATTTTAGAAAAGTATACCCTGTCCCGTGCATGACTGTCGTTAAGAATTATACATGTACCAAGTGGCGCTTTAGCTATAGAGTGTTAACCATTATGTCTTAAAATGATATTGACAGATATTACAGTTGTGTATACATAGCGATCCAATTTACGATGAATATAAAAGCTGGCGTTCTTAGCTGCCGTCACCCAAACATAGCACGTAGAAACATGGTATTTGTCTATAGGTGTTTCAACCGTATTCCGATCGGAGCCCATTCTCCAAGAAAGATTTGTTAATGAGCAGTGTCAAGTCAATACTAATTAAATCTTTCGAAAAAAGTTAACATATTAAAACTAAATTTAAAGATATTATCATTATTTCCATTGTACTACAGATCATGAAATCAATACCAGGTACTATAACATCAAGGTAACCAGATTCATCATTTCCTTTAAAAGATACATGAAGATATATTAACAATGCAATAGCAATGAAATAATTAACTCCATGATTGTTATGATGCATTTATTATGTATTTACGCAGCACCACCCAGTCCCCAATCCCTCCTCAAGCAATTAACAAATAAAAGTACGAACAACCCGAAACACCAGTAAAAAATTCTCTCTTAACCTTTTAAACTTTTGACTTGGTGATAATGAATTGTTTCGTCCTTGCTAGAAATCTTTTACAGCGAGTTGTGTGCTGTAAAGACGAGCCATGATCATTCATGAACGCAATCACGAATTATTTTTCCCACTTGCCATATTTCAACTTCTCTTCTATATTAAATCGGAAAGAATTGTAAGATCAATTCAATTACTGATCGTGCCATCTTAGAGCTACTTTTACTTATTTAGCAGTGACTTTGATGAATGCAGGTCGTTCCTGCTTTAATGCTCGACCCCATTCAAATAGAATAAATCTGCTAACCGAACCGCATTTTGGCCATTTCCTTAATTCGTGTTAAAGTAGCGAGAGGGAAATACCACTCGTCAATATTATTTGTTTCTTTTGCAGCTCGTCCTAACCAATAAATTTGAAAATGTTATACAGAGCTTTGTTGAGATTCAAAAAGAAACTAAGTATCACGTAAGTTTCTGCTTGGATTCTCTAAACATCAAATCGGTACCTTGAAATTCTTCTCACAGTGACGTTTTCAACAGACTTTTTATATTAGATTTTAAAGGGGGATTCCCCGATATATTTTAGTGGTATATTCGAAGGAATGTGATAAGGATTGTTATAATTATCAAATGTTACTTGTGAAATCGTCAAGTGGCATTCTAAGTTCGCCAAGCAAGCCCCTTCACAAAGTCCAAATGTTCACCCCTTTTAAATTTTTTGAGTTCCCGGCATTTACTTACACACTGGCGATGGGATTCGACACAATCTGACACGATTCTACTCTTTTACATTATATACACGTCCAAATAGAAATAACCGTCTTGTTGTACATTTAAAATGAATATTTTAGTCTCGATATAACACAAGAAAACATTATTTATATACATGTATATGCATATATATATTTCCCTGTAGACACCATTGTCAAAGTTACTAGGTAAGGAGAATAAAGAACCGGAAGATGAGAATTTAAATCATCCAGTATCAGGAACGATAGCTGGTGATGAGCTATTAGAATGGTCCATAGATGATAGAACCATCAAGCAAATAGATGGTGGTATCGAGGTGAGTTTGTTTTTATTTCAGAATTATGAATTTTTTCTCACAATAAACATTATTAATTTCATCTTCAGTTCAAACTTTTCAGCATTTCGTTGAGGTAAAGTTTCTTCTTTGATTGTTACGAATAGACACTACCACCCGGCGTCGATCATGTATTAATCGGATTAATCGATGTCTTTAATCAAATGTTACCCTTGCCGTTGTCACTGCTTTGACCTGACCGGTCATGTTTACAAAGCTAAGAAATTATTGAATCTAGTTTGTCTATCAAAATAAATATAATGTACATTTATTTATTTATTTGTTTTATTTTCAGGAAGATCTGGAAAAACGAAAAACAGTTTCCTTGGAATATCTCTTATGGCCAGGAGGCATAGTGCCGTGGCAATTTTGTAAAAATGCACGAAGAAAGTTCAGTTAGTATCATGGATGCATAGCTTAAATTATTTATAAATGTTTGTTCGTTTTTTTTTTTTTTTTTGTTTTTTTTTGGATTTTATTGTAGTGTGGCTTGTAATCGTACGTGAAAGTGAGAGGGGTCGTATTATGGAAACAAAAATACTTTCAAGGATTAACGATATGCATCTTTAGTTTATCGCTAGATTATAAAACAACAGCTACTAACTAATATGAAGTGTTTATTCGAGTAACTAAATACATCTCTCGTCTTCATTAGCCCAGTCTGAACAGAACAGTAGGACATTAAACATCATTTCATTTCTCAACGACATCTCGATGACTCAGTGAATAAGGCACTGGCTCACTAACTTGGAGGTCCGGGGCTCGTTCTGGTATTAGTCGAGAAAGTTCCTCGGGATTTTTTTACTGTAGTTTCTACTGGCAAAGAACAGCGTCTAGTCTTTTGGATGGTACCAAAACTCTAGATCCATACGCACGTAAAAGAACCCAGGGCAGTTGGAAATGGAACTCGGGCAGACTTTTCCTCGTAGCAAACTGCTTGGTGTATGACCCTCTTCGTTGTCCCTCTTGGTGCAGAAAGGCAGAACGTTAAACCCCAGTTGATTTAATTTACTTTTGTAGGAAACACCACATCTCGAGCTATGGTCCTAAAAGCCATGAAGCATTGGGAAGAGAGAACGTGTCTTAAATTTATACCAATTAGTGTAATAAGTAAAGAACAGAGACCCGCACATTATGTAGATATTGGACGTGGATCAGGGTAAATTTCAAAATTTAAGAGTGTGTAATGGGTACAGTTGGGGTATGTATATAGAAGAAATAACAACGGGGTCATATCGTTTTGGTGTTAAATATACATGTGTTTGATTGTTATATAAAATTATGGGGGGGGGGGGCAAGATTTTAAAAATATGGACATATGCAGGTGCGAGCTTTCTAGGGGAACCCGGGGGGATGCTCATCCTGAGATATTTTTGAGTCTTGAGTTCCTGAAATGCCATGTCCTAGACTTTGGGGGAAAATTTTGCAGAATTCTGATGATCAGAAAACACTTATAACATGAGTAAAATTGAGTACTACGCATGGGAAATCATGTTATTTATTAAGAAATTTCCGGGAAAGTACAAAGTACTGTGAATCTGTGACAACTTCTGAAATTGATAATAATTACATCATTTACATGGACCTATATCTTAATTAGCAAAGATATGACTATGTCCCCATATTGTCATCAAGCGTCAGCGCTAAGTCAAGTTTGACCACCCATCGGCGATTTTGTAAAGATCGATCGTGTCCGTCATTCATTACTGAACGCATAACAGTTTTTACTAATTTGAGCTTTGAAAAACTGGCGCGTATTGTGATATCGAATCAAAGCAACCATACGTTTCCACAGATATATTCATACATATATTATTAGGTATTTGAAATTTCCCCTTCTATTTTGGCATTTTTAGTTTACCCCATTTAATTCGTTTAGTCGCAGTATTTTGCCTCCCTTTTACGTCCTGATGATCCTGTCAAATAACCTACCTCTTGATATCCAGCCAATGGAATTTGTTTACTTTCAGGTGCGCTTCTCCAGTAGGATTCAAACAAGCAGGACAACAACCGATCTACTTAAATGAACAATACTGTATCCAGGTAGTTTCGTTTCCTTTCTTTAAAAATTGATTATCTTTGAACTTGTTGACAGAGCACTATTTTGGTTTTAAATGTGTACATATATTGAGCGTTAGCCGGGGTCCAGTCAGAATAATGTACTGATATTGGACATATCTTAGGGCTCGGGGTTGGGGGTTGTTCTATAAAAAACTATAAAGCAGAACTAGAAATTAGTATCCCGTATTGAAAAGATTGCCCCATCATCGACAATCAGCGAATTAAAAGTGACGAACAAGCAAGGTTGAAATATGAATTAATTTTTGAATTGAAAATTATTTTTTTTCAGTTTGGTACTATTGTTCATGAAATTGGTCATACTATAGGATTTTTTCATGAACATGCCCGTCGAGATCGAGGGGAGTATATTAATATTAATACCGATAACGTAAAAGATGATTTTATATCTAATTTCCGAGAAGCCGTCTATTCGGTCAATACAACAATGTATGATTTAGGATCGAATATGCATTATGGACCAAAGGTAAATATTTTCAAAATGTAATACTCTACCGTATTAAAACCTTCATGATTGTTCTTTGAATACCGTTATTGTCATACATGGGAGTCCAGTCAAGCCTGAATTTACTTCCGGTATTGGAACATGCTAATGGTTTGGCCAGTTACTTTTCCATGCGACCATTGAATTCTGCCACACAACACACAGGCGCCTGTAACGTGGAACATATTTAAAAAAAATTAGCTGTAACTAAAGCCTGTTACGTATATGTTCGTAGACGAGATTATCAAATAACTGGTGTGATTCCAATTTCTAACTCGGTGGCAAATAACTCGTCTGAAACCGATTCTCTTCATCAGATATAATAATACTTAGGTGGGAAACGGGTCGGAATTAAATAATTGGGAATCTACGGAATTTTTTGGAGGGGCTGAGGACGCTCCTAAGAAATAATTATTGTTGGCGAAATATTGGGGGGGGGGGGGCCTAATTCGATTTTTTTTTTGGGGGGGGGAGCCCCCGCCCCATCCCATAGCCCCCGCCCCATCCCATAGCCCCCAGCACCCCCCCACCCGTGTCTACTGGGCCGATTGGGATCACGAGTATAATTTTAAACATTCAGTTGCAGACTCGAGTGTCTACCTAGCGAAATTTATTGAGCATTGCCAATTATTAAATTCCAGCCCGTTTCTCACCTTGGTATTTTTATATCTACTAAAAGAGAATCGGTTTCCGACGAGTTATTTTCTCCCGAGTTAGAAATTGGAATCAGACCAGTTATTTGATAATCTCGCTTGCGAACATGGACGTAACAGACTTTAGACTTAGTCATAGTTTGATGTTATTTTTGAAATATTTTCCACGTTACAGGCGCCTGTGATACAACAGGCATTCTACTAGGAAGAGGGCATAGATTATGATGGTCTGACAATAAAAAAGATACATGGATTGTAACCCAGCTGTGAAATATTAATTCATTTTGAGACTTCAATTCCTTCGGTGGTTGAGAATTTCCCCCACACAACCGCGTTACTAACTAATCTCCGGATCTCAATGTGTGGGGTCTTTTAAATGCGTTGATACTTTGTACATAGGTCTTTTAAACTATTGGAATAACTATAAATGTCACAGACGATTTGTAACGGATCTTGAAATATGACGATAATTTTTGGCCGCCATCGGCATTGTAATCCGGAGACACTGGGTCCATTATATTGCTCGTCAAAGTGAAAATATAAAGCTCAAACATGACCTTATTTGGACTAAGAATCGGCGCACATGATGATGCTATTATTTTTGATCACCATTAAATTATAAAATATCACCATTAAATTATAATAAATATATCATTCAGTTTTTCAGTTCTAATGGTAAAAATACCATTACATCTAAAGATCCTGATCTTTCGTTCTTGATGGGAAGACGAATCGGTTTGACTTTCCTGGACACTAAAGCTGCTAACTTAGCCTACAAATGCAAAGGTAGGTCAATTGCATTATATAAGGACATTCATACCCTGACAACCAAATCGGTATTCCGATAATTCTCGTCTTGTTTAAGTTAGTATATAGAATACACGTTCACTATATATACACCAATCTAAAGTATTATAATAATAATAATATGGCATTTAATTAAGATATTTGTTGTTCTTTTATCATTTAGAAAAATGCAAGAATCCAGTTGAGTGTGAAAACGCTGGATTTTTGTTACACACATGCAACTGTTATTGTGCCTTTGGTTTATCTGGTAGAACATGTAATAAAATTAAAGATGAATTTTCGTCAGGTAGTTCAGTCCTTTTTTTATATTTATTTACGATAGTGGTCATCGGTGTAGTAATTAGTAATGTCACTTTTGGGAGAAATTTAAAGAACGGACAATGTCTATAAATATGGGGGCGGGGGTGGGGCTAAGTGGTTTAACGCGTGCGCGTGAAATCATAAGATCTGTCATTGAGTCATGTGGCGTGGTTACGATTTCCCGCTTGTACGTGCCTGTCCATCCTCGTGGGCTTTCTCCTCACCTCTGGTTTCCTCCCACTGCGAAAGACCCTATGCGAATTTCCATTGCGTTAATCCGGAAATGACCTAGTTTGTATTGACTGGACATTAAACCCTCTCTCTTTCTTTCTCTCTCTCCACCTCTCTCCAAATGAAATGGAGGTTAAACTTCATTTCCTTGTGAACAATCTACTTGTGGTGGGGTTCGGCAATGACCCATTTAGGAGCAGGGGGACATTTTTGACGTCTTCCTGCCTTAATGTCTCCGTTCACCTTTCGGAAATCTTGCATGTATGCACCACTGTGATCATGTTCAAATATTTCAAGACCACTGTATAAATATTTATATACTGCTGGTCACAAAATGTCATAATCAAATTGTTAATTGCTTTATTCAACAGAATAATTTATTATCTTTGATAATTGGAAACTCTTGACGTTTTTTTTATTTATGGACGAGTGTTTTGACTATCTTACGAAACACTATCTAAATAATATATTTGAAAGAAAATTCAATATATTTTTATGTATATTTTAGACTGCAGTGGTATTATTGAATTAGGTTTTGGTGAGACAAGAGTAATATCATCACCTGGATATCCCAAGCCACCGCCTATAGCTAAATGTTTTTGGCTTATAAAGGTTAGCTTGTGAATTACATTACCCATAGGCGTACGAGCTGGGGGGGCTTTGGGGGGGGGGGGGGGGCAGCCGCCCCCCCCCCATTCATTTTGGGCACCAAATGCTGGGAAAATTTGGGCACACAATGGTATTTTTTAAAAGTTGTATAAAAAAAGATATTGTGTTCTTGAATGTGTCCAATTTAACAGCGAATTTATTATTATTATGTAACATACTAAGAACCTAACTACATTTTTTGGACACCAACCACCACCGCCCCCCCCCCCCCCAGTCAAAAAATTTCCCCGTACGCCTATGACATTACCTGGTTTGTTTAAACGATAATATTAATAAACAGTATTTCCATATAATTTCCCCACCTTTTTCTGGGTGAGTGGGTCGGGGTAGTTGTTTTGCCTGTGCTGAATTTAAAAATTTTATTTTATTTACGCCCAAAATATGTCTAATATTTTCCCTTAAAAAGACAGCCCATTTCCTCCTCATCTTCATCGCCCCAGCTTTTAAACGCCAGTGTTGATCTGGAAATATCACGTGCCTTTAATAGAACGATTAAGCACCACACAAACATATCTTTGGCCACCAAAAAAATGAATGATATTGAGTAAATTGTATGCATAAAAAACATCAAGAAAAACTATAACAACTATGCTTTATTTCATTCTTGGGTTCTTAATTTCCCCTAGTCAAAGAGACTGGGCGATCGCAATGTACACAGACCATATTATATGTTTTTGTTATTATTCCCAATAGGCCGAAGCCAATAACAGAATACAGATTGAATTAACCCTTGATTTAGCTAGCGATAGACTTAATCATATTTGTCTTCATTGGATAGGAGTAAGATATAACCATATTGGTCAAGTGGGACCAAGGTGAGACCTCTTGTCATTTCTAAACACATTTATTATTTTACGCACGTACGCTTTACTTTTCTCTTTACTTCTTTTTAAATTGAAAAATTCCTCTTGCAGTTATTTTTCGGGTGACTGGTTGGCCATTTTCCAGTTCTTTATAATGGAGTAAATTTATTACATTCAGAATAAAGTTAAAGTTCCAAACAAATTACCAAAGATTTAAGAGAAAATATATTCATCTAATAGGATAGTGTCACGTTGACTTATTGAGATATTTTAGTCCTGTGTGTATAGGCTTATTGTAGGCTTACAGTACGCTAGGATTGAAATTTTCCCCGGGCAGCGGCACTATGGCCTACTCTGATATCGAATTCTAACTGCCAAGGGATCTTTTACGTGCGCGCCAATCGGTTTTTCATCTCATCCGAACGACTAGACAGCTGTCCTTGTCAGGTCCTCCGCCTGCACCAATGACAAGGGGAAACCACGTTGGAAAATCCGGATAAATTTTCTCGGCCAATGCTGGGATCGAGCCAGCATCTTACCCACTTCGCCACCGTGGCTCCCTTAAATCGATAATGAATTATTGTAAACATTTTTTGTAAATTCTAGGAATTTTAACTGTGCATACATTTATATTTTGATGGAATTTGTGTCGATTGTGCTGTTGGTATTGATGTTGTATTTTTATATTTTATTACAGGTATTGCGGCACTACTAGTAAACCTGTTAATATCACATCTAAAAGTAATATGATCAGTGCTGTGTTAAATGCACAGTATAAAATCAAAGCTAATGAACATCAAGGTTTCACTTTAAAATTAACAGCTATAGGAGCAATTGGTAATGTATTCTATTATTGACGGATGAATTTCATTGATTATAAGAGATATCTTAGTGACAGAAAACTGTGTTGTAGGATATTACATCCCTTTATTCTAATTCCAAACAAATATTCAAAACTGTGCGAAGTGCTTTCAAAGAAATACTAACGTCCAAAATTATCAGCTGGAGTTTCATACAAGAGTAATGCCGACAAGACTCACGAGGCGTACACACGAAATGGACGCCCATTTTGAAATTACTGCCTGGGGCGATTTTAGTCGAAGAAGATACTATGATCTTTAAAGGGCCAATCTCAATTATATTTTGTAGAATAAAACTGCTTAATTTTGTGTAAAAAGCCCTTAAAATTCTCCATCTTAGCTAACTCAATATACATGATACGTTTTCAAACAACTTAAACCCGTCAGTCTTCATCTGGAAATGGAGACCAGTATCCCAAGCTGTATTAGTTGATGTCTGGATAAACCAGACTTTTATTTTATAAAAATAACTTAGGTGAAATTTACCTTTCGTTACCAAATACAACAAGTGGATCATGCACTCTATAGACCTCTAAATAACGGCAATAGATTATCAGGTCACCGAACGAAACAATTGACCCGAAATCTTCAAAGGTTACGTGTCCAGATAAGCGGGTTTGACGTTTTATGTGTAAACGACTCAATATCTTGAGCTGAAATTTTGAGACAAGGTAAATACACCTTTCTTCTAAATATCTCGGCGCTTAAATTGCATAGGTATACGGAATTTTATTTCTGAGACTGTTAAAATCGGGATGGTCCCTATAAAATCAAGTTCTGGAATCGCATACATTCTTCTATGCAAGCATAAAAAAGTACCAAGGTAATTTTTCATTTGGTTTACCACCTTACTGTTCTGCACCAACCAGACTAATGAAAACGGACATGCGCCTTGCAGTGTGCTATGGGGGAAATTTTGCCCGGATAACAGCGCTACCACCTACTGTTATTTCGAATTCCAACTGTCAAGGCGAACACTGGGCCATTTTTTTCTATTTTGCTCATTATATTTCATCAACTACCCTGTATTATTATTACTTTGAAGGTTACGTTTAATTTGTGATTACAGATAAAGGTATAAAATGTCTTTTTAAGAAAGGTGAGAAATGTCCATTTTATCCTGATGATATTAATATAATGAAGTGGGAGATCATGCACGTAAGTTGGTGGTTCAGCGCCATTTCTAATTTAATCAGTGTGGTGTACTGCTACAAGCTTGAATAGAGAGTTTATCCACTTAATTACTAGATTATTAAGTTATTTTATCGGGTACAAGGATGGGTGTAACTCTAGCCAAAGACTGCCCATTCGACACGACTTTTTAATTTTTTGAAACTCTCAAATATTGATGAAAAACAGTTTATAAATGACATTAAAACAGTGGTTCCAGGAGGCATTTAATTAACCTGTTTTGATACGTCGTCCATATTAAAACATCATTATATAAGAATCTACCTAATGAATACTATCTGACAAAATCTGTACACGACTTTTATGACATGTTAATTGCTAGATTTAGATTATTGTACATTAAGGACCAAAACTGATTTAAAATATTACAGATTTCGATCATTATGTTTAAACGTATTGAACAAATATCTGACAAAATAAAAGATACCCGAAATTTAGGAAAATATTTAAAACATGCCCGTGTTAGTAGATCGGATAACTTCCGGCCTCCATTGTAAATAATGCACTCAGTAGATACGTTTTATGTATAATAATTATATATGTGTACAGTATGTGTTATTGTGCATTAAATATGCTGTATTATTGTCCTTGAACCTTATAAATACCAAACGGGAAGGTTATATAAAAGAAATATTCTGGTACCTGCTCCGATAATGTCGCGTCACTTAAAGGGTGCCGGTTTTTATTTTTAAAAAAATACAAATTAAAAAATATCTAAGTATTTATTGCACGTTAATATTTACCTCGCTTACATGAAAAATTTAATGAATCCCTACAGTTATATTTATAAAGTACGCAACTCTGATAGGTGTTAATGAAAATCATAAATGATACTGGGTAATCATAATTCCTATAAACAACATGATAAATGAAGTGCCATGAAATGTGATGTTTATGAGAAGTCATTTAGCCCAGTAGTGATCCTTTGACAAAATAAAAACACAAAAATAATAACCTTCTTGCATCAGAGTTTGGTAAGGATTGTCCGAGAGCCAGAATATTTTATTTATGTGGCCTAATTTATGAGTAGTTTATTTACTGAGTTAAAGAATGAAAACATTGCTCTAGTTGTATATCTAGTTCAATTACTAGATGCGACCATAGATAATAGTGAATCGTACGGTATTATCTATGATGCCTCTGAATTTAATTACTCAATGCCACTGAAAAAGTCAATAATTTTTCAGGGACTGTTTGTTGAGTCTGGAATGGAAGGAGCGTCTTTTCTTGTTGCCAAAACATCATATTTTCCCAAACCAGATACAAGAGTATTAAAAAGTGCTGATATAAAGGGTGATGGGTTATTTTTTTTAATGAATTATTATAAATATGGTTATACATGGATATTCAGTTATAGGGCTTTAAAAATGGTGCATTGCCTCAAGTATGCTACGTCGTCGTGCGCGGGGAGTGTATGCTTGCTATTACTGGAACACGTGATACCTTTATCTTTAAACGCATTAGTATAATCTGTTTCACATAGGTAATGCGAAAGCTTTCTTCTAAATCTGAGTAAGATGACTGACCTTTATAATGTCACTTGTATTCTACGTGTGACGTCACATCACACGACGTCGATCATTGGCGTCGATAACGCGTGCCTTGTTTACATAGGACGTAGTAACGTAAACTGGTCCCGGCAGAATGGCGTCTTGTACTCATTTTACGCCTTCGCGTACTATTTTATGTACCCATTTATACTAAATAGGAAATATTTTTTATCCAGATATATTTCGAACACAGTTTGATGAGTTGTCCCACTCTTAAATTCTAGCACTTTGTGGATAACTGTTTTTGTTTTCTGTTTCTTTAATTTATTTGATTGTAGTGAGCGTACCTTCATGTTGAAGTAAATTATTGCCTACAGAAAGCGTAATTTTGTGTGTTTCCGACGTGAAAACAATTATCTACGCATGTTATGTTTCAAGACGTTGATCTTCAATAATTTATTTGATTCAGGTGGTAAATGGTGTTTTTGTTTTGGATACTATCTACCCGAGGAAGAAACTGGTAATGTGTTGGTATTAGTAACTAGTAAGAAGATGGTAAACTCTCGTCCCTCGATGATCTGGATGAATGAGAACTATCAACCTGATTTTCAAACTGTTTGTCTGAATATTAAATATCAAGACGTGTTTAAGGTAAGTTTTAATGGACTGAAAGTTGACAACTGTATATGTGGTATACTTTATTGTCATATTATGATTCTGATTATTTGGAGCATTGTTACAAACATCAATTTTATCTTGTTTTAACATGAACACTACATGCACATCCGGTGTCAGATAAGATTCTCTAGCAAGTAATAGCATTGGCGAGCAAGTAAAAGAGCCATCAACAGTGGGAATTCGAAATAAAGAGTTGGACGTAGTTCCGCTGTCCATAGCATACTGCATGGGGTATGCCGCCTTCATTGGCCCGGATTGAGCAGTAAAGTAGGACTTTAAAATCCATTTTATTCCACGCTCTTATTTTGATTTTTAGTGTTCTTATTGACATACGAGGGCTGATTTAAAAGTTCTAAGCCTATCTGACGGCGACAGACCTGTACAAAGTCGATGGTTTCCATTTATTTTTCTACATAGTCCTGTTCGAGGTGTACACATTTTTGCCAACAATATTGTGGAAAAGGAAAGGGCATCATACCCTAAATTGGAAACCTTGTCGGCATGTATCTGTGTTGTGGTACTGCCCTATGGCCAGTTTTGTCCATTTCTTGGGATTTCAACGGGCTGGTGCAGAGACAATAATAACACTACAGCTGCAGTTCTTGTGTCTATGATTCACTTAATGATTGTATTTATTTGTGCCAAAAGTTTGTTTCAACCCAACTGATCTATCCTTTTCAGGCTTGTAACTTTTCGGTCAGCCCTTGTATTATTCACATTGACGTTTGAGTTTATAATGATGGTAGTCCCTACTTGTTGTAATCATTGTCTAAGATTTGTTGTCATTTATTGATGCTGTCCTATGACGGTAGTTAGCGTCTAGAATCAAAGCTCTCTGTCGGAGAGACCCACCTTATCCACTCTGGATTTGTTTGGGTTTATTTTCAGATATTAGTGAAGATTTATTTACGTAAAAACAACATGATGATCTTGTCCAATATAACCTTAGGTCCAAATATGTGTGAAAAGTCAAATAAAGTTTACTCCGTTGCCCAAACACCAAAAGGTAAGATCTTTTCAAGTTTATTTTAAATCTTAGACACATAGGTCAACTTATCATCTGAGATATTTGGTACAACAGAACTGTTGACTGGAAATAACTGCATTTTTGTTCATCTGAATCCTGGAAAATCAAATACTTCCCAATATCTGAACATTCCTATAAAAAATGAAAAGCCGAGAATGCTCAGATGGAAACATCAGATCACAGGCGTGTTACAGAAATCAACAGTATCGCGATGGAGACCATACAACTTCTGTAATGCGATAGATAGGGAGAATTGGGGTTTACCGCCATTCGATACAAACTATGACTAACATATGGTTCAATTTAATTTCAATAATTCGCTTGTGCGTAGATGTATTTAGCTGTGGAAGGAAGCCGGATAATACTCAAGATTGGACTAGCGACCCTACGCCGCCTGATTCAATGACAGATCTTATGACCTAACGTGCACGTGTTAAACCATTAGACCACCCAACCCCAGCTCACCTACCCTTTAGAAAATCACAGTGTGATCTGATGCAGCGAACCCAGTAACTCAAACTACATTTTGTTTTAGTGGCATGGCGATGTGATTTTGAAGAGAGCATGTGTGGTCTTCGCCAATGCTATAGTCCAGCTGAGATGACTTGGGAAAGGATGAATGTATTTCCTATGTTTGGACCTAAATCTGGTCATAGGTCAGCCAAATCAGATCCGGGTGATAACTGGTTTATGGTTAGAAATGGTTGGTTTAAGGTAAACATTTAAAAATACATCCCAATGAATTGATAATACTGTACAATAATGTTCAGCAGCAACAAGTAACGCATGAATGGAACAAATTGGTATTGTTCCGATAGTAACACATAGACAATAACATTAGGAGCCGCGGTCACCTAGTGAGTATGACGTTGTCCTTGTCATGCCATCCGGATTGCACCACGGACAAAGAGAAGCCACGCTGGGAAATCTCGAGGAACTTTCTTGTCCAACACCGGGATCGAACCCCGGACCCCCTTGTTAGTTAGCCCGCGTCACTGACACAGCGTGCCCACCAATAATGTTATCAAACTGATGAATGAAAAATGACAACATTACACTATGTTTTTTATCCCGAGATTACCACCCGAGAAATAAAGATGTTAGAAAATGTGTTATACATGTAGAAGGTGTAGAATGCAAATTTTAAACGTGTTGTTTATTTGTTACCCAAGTATATATTCAATCAATTAAACATATTTCCATGTAAGCTGTATAGCCTACTGGAGGTCCACATTATTTTGTCCTACCAATAACTATTAGGTAAATTAGTAAATAACTCATTTTTTTTACTACTTTTGTCTTATAAGAAACAGTCTTTGAAAATCGTCATACGCGAGAAAATAACTATTATCAATTCATATATTATTATTATGGCAGTTGGAATTCGATATAAGAGTAGGCCCTAGCGCCGTTGCCCGGGCAAATTTCCCTCATAGCACACTGTATGTTGTATGCCCGTCTTCATTAGTCCAGTTTAGGAGCAGAACAGTAGGACGTTAAACCCATTTCATTTCATTTCGTATATTATTATTAAACAACTTTTTAAATTTTATTTAAATATTTGTATGTTTTCAGCCTCGCGCTAGTGTTGCCTGTGTCCAAAGTCCTGACATATATCTAGAAAATACCAAGAATTGTTTACAGTTTTATTTTTATGTATGGGGATATTCTACTGGTAATGTGACTATAGATATAATAGAAGATAATGATATCCAGACAGAGATTTGGAGTTTTGACCGACTCGGTCTACAGAATATTGAGTGGAGTTTATTTCAGGTACCAATAACGGTGTCTGGTAATATAAAGGTAAGTGTCTGCGTTGTTGGCGATCGGTTTCACAGAGAATTACGAGTCTAGTAATATACTCAGCCAAATTAAAAACTTGACACTCGGGATTTTTAGGACTAGATTTTTAATATTTGGTTTAAGGCAACTATTTTAGTGTTATGTTGTGCACAGACGACCTTGACATCAACAGAAAGCAAGAATACGTCTCGCCGAAAGTCCTTGACATTGATAACGTTCGTGATGTCACAGTACCCCCAAAATGAAATTCACAGACTTGGAGAACAATCGGAATAAAGTGTTTAGTAACGGTTGTGGCCTCCTCTAGCGTCTCGTACTGCCACACAACGTCTTCTCATGGATCTCAGAACATTAGTAAACACTACCCCAGGAAGACGTTGCCACTGCTCAGCAAGAGCATGTTGAAGGTCCTGCAACGTCAGTGGTGGATTCACTTGCTGGCGCATACTTGAGCGTAACGTTCACCCAGTCTGCGGTACACTCGGACCCTGTCATCAGCAAATCTCAAAGTGAATCGAGATTCGTCACTAAAGACAACCGAATTCCACTGTCTTTGAGTAAATCTTATGTGTCTTGTGGCTCACACAAGTCGGTTACGGCGATGGAGAGGTGTCAATATTGGTCCATTATAGGGCCTCCGAGCTCGAAGACCAGCAGCCTGCAAGCGATTTCGAACAGTTTGTGCAGTTACCCTTCCACCAAACATCTCTCTACTTGTGGAGGTTGCAGTGACAAATCTGTTTCTAAGATGACGTAATCGTATTGCTTGATCTTCCTGGAGTGACGTCACACGTGGCACTCCCGCCCTTGGGCGGTCGGCAATAGTTCCAGTTTGAAGCACTCTCATTCTAAGATTAATTATTGTCTGGCGTGAACAATTAAAGGCTCTTGCAACAGTGACCAGAGACTGACCAGCATAGAGCCTACCTATAGCACGTAGACGTTCTACATTTGAAGGGCGCGGCATTTTCTAACAAAGATGAAAATAACAATTTTAATTTGTTTTTCCAGTTCAAGTTACGTGTGCGTGTTCAGTTTAAGCAAACTTGCATCGATTGACCTCACGAGTTTGTGTTTGCACGTGTTTTTCAGGTTTTTCATCTTTATATGCTCAAACGTCACGTGAAATTATAAGGCATACGTTTACCTAGTCTCTCGCAGATAAGCATGATCTGTTTACGCCATAATCAGTTTTGAGAGTTGACAATAATGCTGGAGACTGAAAATATTCAAGGGAGGTAATTTAGGGAATAAATATGGTTAATTCTGGGTGCTCTTAGAATCCTTTTATCGAAAGATCTGAAACGATTTCAGATTGAATGTCAGGTTCAATTGGTGACGACCGTCTTAAAGGACAATATTGGTGCCAGTCATTATCACATATGTCATAGAGCTGGTTAAACACATTCCAAATATAATTTTAACACAGAGATTGCTACGATAGCTGAGTAATACAGGTTTCCTGAATCGGAAGTGACGAACGCCAAAGGAAAACACGAGTCATACCTCTATATAACTGACAGATGTGACGAGTGATAACAGATACACGGCCGAATTTCTGCTCACTAATAATTCCTTCCAAGACCAAAAGTTGTTATATGGGACTGTAAGAGGATACCTGACAATTAATAAAGTAATTGAATGTCATTAGATAAGAGAACACGGGAAAAATAGAAATAGTCCGTACATTCCCTTGTTTATATTCATTCTATACCTTATAAAAAACATGGTAATGCACGGACTTTTTCTGTTTTTCTTTCGTGTTCTCTTATCTAGTGGCAGTCAATTCTTTTTATGAATTGTTAGATATCCCCTCACAGTCTCACACAACAACTTTTGGTCTTGGAAGGAATTATTAGTGAGCAGAAATTCGGCCGTGTATCTGTTATCACTCGTCACATCAGTATTATATAGAGGTATGACTCGTGTTTTCCTTTGGCGTTCGTCACTTCCGATTCAGGAAACCTGTATTACTCAGCTATCGTAGCAATGATCTCTGTGTTAAAATTATATTTGGAACGTGTTTAATTAGTTCTATCACATATGTGATAATGACTGACACCAATATTGTCCTTTAACTAGCATTCACCTTATGCCTGGATGAACAGTCTATAATTCATAGACGTGCGCAGAGGCCTCTTCCTGCGATACCGTGATCGTTTTTTCCGAATGTAATAGAATTTTGCAGGTTATTATTATCATTGGTCAGTTAAGTCATTCACTTCCCAATGTCTCATTAATTTGAGTTGAAACTTCCAGACAAGTTGTACGGCCTGTTTTGTTTTTGGGTTGAGTTTTTTTTTTTTGGGGGGGGGGGTGGGGGTGGGGGTGGGGGTCTGGTTTTTTTTTCCATTACATTAATTGCAGAATTAAATAAACTTTATTTCGAAACCACGTAAAAATAAAGTGGACTTCTTGAGGAGTGCTTAATGTGTTAACTGAAACTTCGCCTTTCTGTATACATGTATATATATGTGCGGGAACAAATCATTCTTTTATGTTTAGAAAAATAAATTTTCATTTATTTTTAAACGATGTGTGCATGATTTATGTGTATGTATCCTTTGTGTAATATTTAGATTAATATGTGTATAAATATTTTTGAATATTTCAGTTGGAGATTAAAACCAAATTACGATATTGGTGGGGAAGTTATGCTATAGATGATATAAAGATTACTGAAACAGCTTGTTAGTTTATTGATTAAAGTAACGCATTGATCCGTGTTTTATGGAAACATGGCGTTAATGGCGAGGTTAGGTCTTAATTTTGGTGGTAAACATCGTCATTAATTATTTTTTTAAAAATAGCAAAGTGATGTATTAATGCATCCATTAATGTCTCGATTCGTCATTTTAGCGCTAAAGGAATCTCTTGCAGACTACCATTTTGTGGAAGATGAATTTCTAATAAGAATATCTGTCCAAAAAGTGGTTCAGTTTCGTTCAGTATTTACAAAGATATGTTGAATTGAAATTCCATCGATCTATGTGGCTCGTCTTTGTCGGGACACTGTCTGCATATTAGAGTTTTCTTTAATTTTGTTGTCTGTAAACATTACACAGTGCTCTTCTGCAACTATCTATTTGCATAAATGCTCATATTTTTTGTCGAATCAAAATATGTTTTCAAAAGTTGAAAGACCAGTAGTGCTCTTGTTATATTCAATATCTAGCTTACAGAAAATGTTTTCATTATATGTTATTTATATCTGTAAATATTTAGTGCTACTATTAAATATTGTTCATTCGTGTCTGTGATAAAATATAAAAACTCGTACACCCTACTCTTTTCTTGAATCATTTGAATCCCGGGTCATAAAACATTTTTTTTTTCTTTTCCATAAGGGGGGCATTATGCAAGATTAGATAAGGAGCTGACAGTTCTCGCAATATCAGTTTAAAAAAAAATAGATAATGAAAAGGCGATAACTATGCGAAAATTTCAGTCAATTCTGAGCCGAGTTATTGCCGTTACAAGAACAGTGTAGCCCCCATTGTCATTGATACCGTTGTTACGATAATAAACAAAGTCTTGATTATCCACTTTTACGTTAAATCATTAACCGCAAATCGTATTTAAATCTGTTGAAAGTATAGAGTATCCGATTGCATCGAGAGTTGATTATGGTTTTGGTAAGTTAATTAATGTCTATTTAATAATTTATATAACATTTCAGGCCTCAAGAAAGACCTGCAATAGGCAGATTTAGCTCTTGCATAATGCCTGTTTAACTCAAGTTTTACTCAGTTCATTGGCTTGTTACTTGCCCTCAAAGTAAACTATGCAATTCACCATAGTGCTTATCCTGCCCTTTGCTATTATTATGCCAACCTAGCCCGAACGACTAGACAGATTTCTTAGTCAGGCCCTTCCCGCCCGGCATCATTGACGAGAGGGAACCACGCCGGAAAAACTTGATGAACTTTCTCGGCCAATGCAGGGATCGAACACCCGACCTCCATGCTAGCGAGCCAGCGTCTTACCCACTTACCACAATAAAAGCACAAACAATCTACTAGAATTTTAGGTTTATTGTATAAAACGGATGACGAACAACTATCCTTATTGTATCATATTATAAATAGATTTTGTTGCAATTTAAGGCCATGTTTCATTGACCGCCTATGTATTCAAAATAAATTCATTTCCAAAATCAAACTAACAATTCATGTCAATTTTGGATATAAAATTAGTTTGAATGTTGCTGACGAATCAATCTCGCAATATATCCTGCTACAGAAATTTACACTATATAGATTACAAAAACACAATAAATATAACTCATTGTTTATGACACTCATTCCGAACCCTTGGATGTTGATATTTAAATCTTTCAAGAAAAGAAAAGTCGTGAAAACCAATTTACACACCCACAGGTAATATCACCCATAGCAACCACTGATGTTTAAAAATGGCTATTCCCGGGATCAACCTTCTGTAAATTAACCTGCAATAACTGCAACCCTCTCAATAAACATAAACCACTGTGCACATGCTTTGAATTTTACGGCTGATATTGGATTGCTTGGACTTGGAACTATTACTCACCACTCGTCCCAATAATATTACCAGGGAATGTTAATTGTTTGGGAATGGCCGTTTTCGGGGAATACTAACCCTAACAATTTTAAAAGGGGTAAAGGGTAAACTGGATCCAAGTTCAGTCTTCTAAGTTCCAAGTTCAGGATTAGTATTCCCCAAAATATTCATTTATATAAAGCGGTCATTGTGGACCCCCCCCCCCCCCCACACACACACACACACCAACCGGCATACATTTAGCATCTCCCAATATTACCGCCTAGAAGGGTATATGTCAAGATATTATGGAAAACCGAGCCTAAAACATGCCCATCATACCATAACTTATGGCATAACATACGCACTGGAAAGTGGTCCTTTTTATCTATATGATGGAGGTCATAAAATTTACCGAACGGTAAAAACGGGTTGCCGTTTACCGCCATTTTGGCCGATTTATTTCCCCTTCTTGGCGGTAGAAATATTGGAACGTATGTACTGACAAGCATAGTAATACCTGGCGATAATCTTTACAGTTTGTGTCGACGTGTAAATTAGATAGCAACGTATTGCCATGGTTTTATTCGAAATAAAACTGTCTGAAAAGCAGTTGCCATCTACTACTTCCGGCATAAACATAACCTTTAATACCTGCGATTAAGCAAACATCGAATACGTCCATATATAAATTAAATTTAACTTTGCACGTATATCCTAACTCCAGTCCAATAAGGCGAGTTTGTTCATTCTGGAGATACCACAAACTGATAAATAGATTCAATATAAAAATATATATACAGAGACTTCGAAGATTATAAAAGAAAATCTGCGTATCTGAATGAAATTCGAACAAAATAAATCATAAAATCATTTTAACAAAAATTTGAAACGTCGACTTGTTCGTCTAGCTGGTCACCTTTTTCCTCTGATTTTATGATCTTTTCGGTCGAGGCTGACTTGGATTTATCGTCTTTCAAAGAGGTACACGTATCTGGTTTAGAATCGTGTTTTTCATCCATGTCAAATCCAAACTGTTTCCCAGTTCCATCTCTATATACTCCCATAAACATGGCTAATTTTCCTGCTAATGGTGGGTCAGTAGTTTGCATAAGTTCTCCGGGCAGTTCATCGGGAATTTCCTCTGCCTTTTGTGTTAAGTCTTCCAAATATGTTTTCCCTTCTTCCATAAAGGGGTTGACCCTATCCGAGCGACCGATGAGCCAGTAAGTTTTCATCGATCCTTTACCCTGAAAATAAAATGATACCGCATTCTCATTAAAACCAGATGTTATTGTTCCGTTTATTGGATTGGTCACACATGTTAAAACAACTAAAGAAAAGTGCATTTGGAGTATTTGGCATTAATTAAACGGCCAAGCATGTGTTTGGATAATCGAAGCCTTTCAAATAATTTCTCGGAATTTTCTGCCTCTTGATCTGGAGTCTACCAATCACAACCTGCTTAAATCGCCTTTGCATGCCATATCATTAGAAGGCTGGTGGCAAGGCAACGCCTAGCCCCATGAAAATATCACTGTATCGACGTCATACTGGCAACCAGACGGCGTACAATTAAAAAACCTCAATAACATACCTTAACTTCTATGGTTCCTCTGTGTTTCATGACAAATACGCCATGTTTCTTTAAAGAGTTATAAGTGCTTGAACTAATCTGGATTTTGTTGGCTAAAAAGTAAATAATGCATTAAATAAACTTAATCTACAAAATCACTTTTATTTGTTTTAAGACCTTTCTTGGGTGTATACATCATTGATAAAGAAGCAGGAAAGAAATGGAATGAAATGGGGTTTAACGTCCTACTGCTCTACACTTACTGGGATAACGAAGACGGGCATATCGAATTTCAACCATCCCGGGTTCTTTTAGATGTATTCCAAGGTGTGAGCGGGACCTCGGCTTTTCGTCCCATTCCGAACGACCACGCCAGAAAATCCCGATGAACTTTCTCGGTTAACACAAGGATCGAACACAGGGCCTCCAGTTTAGCGAGCCAACGTCTTTCTCACTAAGCCACCGTGGCTTCCCTATAGTCATAGAGCCCAGGCAGCATGTTTATCAGATGCGGTTCTGACGTTAGTGGCTTCGGGTGAACTAGATAAACTAATTACACCCGGGCTAGTCGTGCAACACTATGCATACATTTTCGATCTTAAATTATTTCATAGTTGTGCGTGGGACAGATTATGTCTTTCAATGCAAAAGAAAAATCGGGATAACTTTTGTGTACCCGTTATTCTAACCCCTTAGTAATACCAAACCCATATATATCCTTAAAAAACATAACAGCACGGTATATCAACTGATGGTGGTCTAGGTCACGATTTGGTAGATGTTATACTAATTGTGATAAATCAACTTACGTAAACCATAGCTCTTCATTCTAGATGATGTATTAACTGTATCACCGAACAAACAGTATCTAGGCATGATAGTTCCTACTATACCAGCCATACATGGTCCTTATAAATAAATAAATATAACATCTATTTTTACAGAAAAACTAATTCCGTCGTTTTTGGTCTTCGCACCTGTGTCGAGTCAATCTGATAAAAATTAGATTTTCTTTTCATTTCGTTTTTTTTTTCACTTTAGAACCATCAAGACAAAACGATATATAGAAATATAATTCATCTAGCTAAAGTATTGGTTATTCCACTAAAAGTCACACAATGGGCGGGATGATATTAATTAATTTCCAAATAGCAATCCTACTAATCACCGACATGAGCGGATTTTGTCAGTATATATAGCGTCCAAAGTTATGCAAAAAGGTGACCGACGTGGAAAGATATGGTATATCCAAAATTCAAAAGATTTCAAAAAATATTGACAAAATTTAGGGTAAGTGTAATATTGGCGGTAATTAATAAAATCATCCATAATTTTTTATGAAATCATTTAAATTTTGGAAATGATGTGTATCCATAACATAGCTTTCCTTTTCGGTCACTTTTTGCAATACGTTTGACTCTATTGACCAAAAAACGCTCTTGTGTGTCTTTGTCAGTGATTAATTGGAAATTCAAATAGCTATTTCCATATTTAAAGGATTGAAAGTGATTGAAAAAAGAAAAAGTGTCAGCGGCTATCGATATATGATTTAACTTTAGATATACTATTCTACATTTTAAGATTGAAGTTCGACGCGGGTATTAAACTGTATTTACCTGTATTTATTCCTATTCTGAGTTGTATAAATTTATTACCGGCCGCTGAGAAACGTCGTTTAGACATCATGTCTATCAGATCACAAGCTAGGGCTGCTACTTCTAGAGAATGGCGATTACCAATACGTGTTGGAAGACCTGAAACAATATACACAACAGATTATAAGTAACTAGTTCGTAAAATTTGTTGGGTAATTAGTAAAACCAAAAATATAGTAAAGTTCTATAAATATGACTCTCAATAACACACGTGTTGTAAACAAACGTTAGGTATATTTGGTTGCCAATAAATTTCACAATTAAAGTTACCAAACGTATATTGATGTTCATAATATAGTATGTTCAACTCCATTCAAAAATACCCAAGTCATAAATTTTGGGGTTGCTACTGTGGCTCCGTGGGTAAACACGTTGAACCGCTAACCTGGAGGTCCCGTGTTCGATCCCGCCGTTGGCCGAGAAAGTTCATCTGGATTTCCCGGCGTGGTTCCCCCCTTGTATTGGTTCAGGGTAACGGATAGTCGTTCGGATGGGGCGAAAACCAAGGTGCCGTATACATATTGGCGTGCATGTGGAAGAACTCTTGGCAGTTGGAATTCGATACAAAGGTAGATCATAGTGCCGCTGCCCTGGCAAAATGTCCCTCATAGCACACTGTATGGCATATTCCCGTCTTCAGCAGCTCAGTCGGACAAGAACAGTAGGAAGTTTAACCTCATTTCATTTCATTTTCAGAAAAGTTGCTTACCGGAAGCTACCATATAGGAATCATTTATTGTTTCTACTTTATACACTTCGTGATTATCCAGTTTCTCATCAATTGCCGTGTAAAGGTTGTTTAGTAAAGAAACTATCTCGAAAGGAGAACACTCGTTAGCTATTCGCGTAAAACCAAATATATCTGAAAACATCACTGTCACAGACTTGAAATACTCGGCATCAACATCACGACGAAGTTTCAGCTGCTCCGCTACTGGTTTTGGTACCATTTGATACAGCAATGTGTCTGTTTTCCGTTTCTCTCGACTCAACTCTTTGGTTTTCTGGACAAGGGTCAAAGCATATTTCTGGATATCACTAGTCAATGATTCTACGGAGTATATAACGAGTGGACACATAAGTATGACAACCACCAGTAGACCAGCACTGAAAAAAGAAACACGTACCACTAAATAATCATTGTTGGTATTTTGAATACCCCCACTCCATCCTCAACCCAACAAAAAATATATACCCCGTTCGCACGGGTCTTCTTGAACAAGCAAAATCAGAGAATTCTCCAGGTTAAGAAGGGGTTGTATTTACTAAGAGAATGATTACAATAAATAGGCCACGTGTATTTGATTTGAATGAACCCGTCATTAGAAATTAAGTTTAAAATAGTGTAGTTGCTTACATAGGGACATTTACCAACAAAATTAACGTCTGCAATTCAAAAGTTTTTATGGTCATCACCATGATCTTGTGATGGCTATAACAAGGCTATGTCTATTATAATTCGGATCTTATTGGTCCATTCTTTGTTCCAATGATACATCTAGTATAACCACTTATATGGTAACAGATTCCTAAAGCGGTGGACACACTAGCCGAATCATTCGTCCGAATCAATCGCCGCCGAAATTCGCCTATATTGTGTCCAATGTCATTCGGCTGAATTTCTATTCGCCTGAAGCAAACTTGTTTGATATGTTGCCAAATATATTCACCTAGCGTGTCCGGTTCGCCGAAGCATTCGCCTGATTTTTAGAATTCATTAGCCTGTCACATGAATGTTTAAAGACATGGTCGCTGCCATGTTTAATCATGTGAATTCCGCGCCGATTGATTCGGCTAGTGTTTCCACCGTTTAACGGTCTTCCACACAAATTTATTCACGATTCACTAACATTATCTTAGGGATGACCCTTTTAATGTTAAAGCCACGCTGTTTTAATAGACAGGATGTATTTGTTTATACCTGATAATCAAATTTCGTTCTTCTTCGTTGATAATTTCTTCTAATTTACCGTTAATAAGAGTAGCCAAATCTTGTTGAATAACCAGTAGAGTATCTAGATATAGAGTCATGTTATCAAACCACCATTGACCTGTCAAATAAAGATAAAACAATTATATAACCATCAATGATCAAAACAAAATTCAACTATAAAAACTTCTATATATATCATATAACCAATGGCTCCCTTGCAATCATCGGTGTTGTGGAATTAGAGGCTTTAAAAGTTCAATAATGGTTTAATTCGGCTTAGTATTTACAAGAATTTGTCAACAAAACACAGCTCAACACAAACTAGCTCATTTCGGGACTAACCAATGGTGCAATTTTATTTCAATAACTCGATTGCACGTAGGGGTCTCTAGGAAGGACAACTTGTTCAGGATTAGATCAGTTGACATCATTTATATAATTCCAATTTACCTTTCGTGATGGAGAAATCAATGGATAAAGTATGTTGTATTTCAAAACGGAACTTCTCGATGACTGACGTTAGGTTGGTACCACTGCTGGTGACACCTTCTTGAAAGATGGGATCAACAATCGTAGAATACAATACGGCCGATTGATAATTAGCTTTATAAACGTGGACTTTCTCGTTATATCTTTCATAGACGCTCTGTGTCGGGAAACCACCCTGTACGTAAAATACTGCCCCAAGCGCCCTCTCTATACCAACGTGTTCCATCCCTGTAACTATCTTCTGATAGGCTACCAGTGTCTTCCAGATTGAAGCCATGTTGGATTCTCGAATAGCTTCGTACATCCATTCCACAAATCTTTCAATTAAAAGCGAGTAAAATTCCATCTCAACGTAGATATCAAAGTTATTGGGATCTAGTTGGGCTCGATGATCACTCAGATATTTTTTAAAGGAATCCTTTGTGGTGAAAATGCTGTTTTGATCCCCTTTAACTGGCCAGTTAGATAGCTGCTTTAAAGCTTGGTCAGTCAACAAATATTCATTGAGGATAAATGTTTTGGTTTCTGGTCCCAAAATACTCAGGTAGAGAACGGACATGTCTCGTTCTCTTTGCAGACGATCAAGAAATTTGCCCAACTCCACACTGAATTTGACGGCATATTGTGTCTGCAATATACAAAAAAAATATGTTACTTATATATCCCTACATTACATATTTATATCCATTCAGATCCGCCATTTGAAGGGTGTTTAATCTCTTGCGAACTACAACATCGTTAAAGATGAATATCTAAAATACAAGTCCCAAATGGTTCAAAGACGTGATGCACTAACAACTTCGCAAACGTATCTATAGATTCTATACCCATTAAAATCCACCATCTGAGGGATGTTTAATCCCTACAAGCTATAATATTGTTAAAGATAAGTCTCTAAAACGAATATTAGTTCCAAAATGGTTCAATTCCATTCTGTATTTACAAAGACCTAATGCACTAAAAACTTCGCAACATTCAGCATCCTCTGGAGATGATATAAACAAACCAGCAGCACCTATAAGTGTTGGGTAAAATCTTTTGATTGGCCTCTTTTTAACCAGATTCAATCCAAGCCAGGCAATTTGTATTCTAAATTAAATGTATCTGATCAATTTGAGTACTATTCAATGAGTTACCGGCCCTTGCCGTAAGAGACAAGTGCCCCAACTGTTACTTTGTCTGAAACACATGAGTAGTCAAGTCAAGTTCGCGCACAGGTTCACGATCTGTTGAAATGTCGCAAACAGCGTGGAACGGGAAAGTAAACCCTTTGCAAATAAATTTCTGTAGGCGTTAAGAGGAAATGGTTCACCCCGAAGAAATAAATTGACCAATATTGTACCTGGTGTAAATATCGAAACTTTTAATGCAATACATGTAGATCGAAAAAGGTTTGCGACTGACATAAACTTTGATAATGAACGGGCCAGAGAAAATCTTGGATGCTAGAATGGAGGATTATCTGGCATTAGTTCTCGGGTATTAAAGTGTTCGACATGAAAGTATCTGAATCTGAATCTAGAAGGTATAGTAATAGCATATTATATGTATATCAGTATTTGAAGAAAAACGTTGATATGGGTCACGCACGTGGATGCGTCACGCATGACTTGTGTTTAGCTGTGGTCGCTTGATTAGGATGTATTAAATGTCTGTCTTTATTAATAATTTTGGGTGAGCCTGTTCGGCTTTGTTGTTCCGCAATATAATTATAACATAGAGCATCCACCAAAGGTTGTCTTATTTATTTCTACTGTATAGACAAAGTAATGAATGTTTTCTTCAATAATTTGGGCGAGTCGTGATCAACCTTGTTGTTTCGCGATCTAACATGGAGCACAAAATAAGGTTGTCTTAATTTATTTCAACTGTGTCGGCAAGAAGTAAAGCAAATGTTTTCTTTAATAATTTAGGGTGAAACTGTTCAGCCTTGTTGTTCCGCAGGTCTAACATGGGACATACAATAATGTTGTTTTAATTTATTTCTACTGTGTCGGCAAGAAGTAATCTGAATGTTTTTCTTTAATAATTTTAGGAGAGACTGTTCAGCCTTGTTGTTCCTCAGTCTAACATGGAACATACGCTAAGGTTGACCTCTATTTTAGTATATAAAAGGGCTTTACCTGTGTGCAGACAAGTTGTAAAGCTATTGTTTTCTTTAATAATTTTGGGTGAACCTGTTCAGCCTTGTTGTTCTGCAATCTAACATGGGACAGAGACTAAGGTTGTTTTAATTTAATTTAGAGTGAAACTGTTCAGCCTTGTTGTTCCGCAATCTAATATGGGACATACACTAAGGTTGTTTTAATTTATTTATACTGTGTCGGCAAGTAGTAAAGTGAATGTTTTGCTTTAATAACTTTGAGTGAGACTGTTCAGCCTTATTATTACACAACCTAACATGGAACATACGCTAAGAGGGCTTATCTCTGCGCAAGCAAAGTTAAGGGGTATACCTGTGTGGAAGCAAATTAAGGGGGCTTACCTGTGTGGAAGAAAATTAAAGGGGGCTTCCCTGTGTGAAAGTTGTGGAAACAAAGTTTAGATGGCTTGCCTGAGTGGAAGCAATTTAAGGGGAGTATAGTTTAGATGGCTGACCTGTGTGGAAGCAAATTAAATGGGGCTTACCTGTGTGGAAGTGAATTAAGAGGCTTACCTGTGTGGAAGCATAGTTTAGATGGCTTCCCTGTCACGTTGAAGCAAAGTAAGTGGGCTTGCCTGTGTGGAAGCATAGTTTAGTTGGCTTACCTGTGTGGAAGCAAAAGTAGGCTTACCTGTGTGGAAGCAAAAGGAGGCTTACCTGTGTGGAAGCAAAATGAGGCTTACCTGTGTGGAAGCAGATTAAGAGGCTTACCTGTGTGGAAGCATAGATTAGTTGGCTTACTTGTGTGGAAGGGGGCATACCTGTGTAGAAGCAGATTAAGGGGCTTACCTGTGTGGAAGCATAGTTTTTAAGGGGGCTTACCTGTGTGAAATCAAAGAAACGTTGCAAAGCAATTTGGGATTTTGGGTAGTCATCTATAATAGCCATTATGACCTTTTTAATCTGGGGCATTAAAATTTAGCTAGAATCATAGGGGTTAAATTATCGGGATTGAAACCATGAAGATATTCAAAAATAGGAACAGAATGTATAAAAGTTCAAAGCCTTATGTACGGAATAATTGACCGGGATAACCAAAAATGGGTTAAACGGGAAAAATATGTGGTGGGATGAAGTGTGTTGTGGGGTGAAGTGTGTTATGGGGCGAAGTGAGTTGAGTTAGTATTGGATGTTAATAAAGTTCATATTGTTCTCATTGTCTTAGTTTTGATATTCGTAAAATGATTCCGGAGCAGAAGCACTATGCCTGCAATACTTACATCTATAGGCAAGACGGTAATTCAGTGGAAAGTATACTATTGAAATAGATACTGCCCGACAAATGCAAATGATGACCATGACCTTTAATTGACTTAAAGGGTTGCAGTAATCATGAATTGAAAAATTAGGAAACCCTTACAATCTTGGTCAAGATTGGGTTCAACATTTTGAATTTCAATTGTTTAGAAATATGATATATCATACCTGTTCTATAGCTGTTTTACCCTGGATGCTGTCTGATAAACTGTAAACAGTGAAAGCCCACAGACCAAGAATTGGTAACAGAGTCAACGATAAAATCTTTAACATCTGAACACGCTTTCCTTTATCGGTTAAGGGTTCACCTCTACAAAATCCAACTGTAATAATAGATAGATATTATTTAAATCCCCATGAAAGGATATTTCAAGTATAAGCTTGATTTTTCGGTTTTGTGGGGAGTCTAGGAGAGGGGGGGGGGTGCAATATATTCAGCCGTAAAATGATGTCTTACACGAAATGAGCATGTAGGGCAGGTTTGTCTATTAATCGCATGGTCTGACTCCAACACTCGAATCGCACAGATAAAATTAAATTATTTAGCAAACATAAAGTGGTGATTTATTTTGGAAACAAACAGATGTTTCTTTTTTTTATACTTACTGCCGCCGACATGGGGATGGACGATGTCGATGATGTGACTGTTGAGGCTGTCCTCACAAGAAGAAGCACTCGTCATCTGTAAATATAAAAGAGAAAAACACACATTACCTAGAGTTTACAACTGCAATTGTATAAGCATATTTTATCCCCAGTATAGAGTATATACCATTGTGCTTTACTAGAAAATCATCTCAAGAAACTTGGCTACCCTTATTCGCCATAACATTACTTATTAACTAAAAGATACTGAGATCGGAATTATCCAAATGTCTGAGTACGACAGTTAGATCCCCCCCCCCCCCCCGCACACACACCCCATACACACACCCACACACTCATCTTTTCTTTCGTTTGTTATCTACAAATACATCTTTAAGCCTACAAAGTTGGGCTACTTACGGTTGGTACACTAGGATGCTCTCCTCTGTCACACCTGGAAAGTTTAAATGACTCCGTGTTGAAACTATATGCAATAACTGCTTATAAGTGACACGACTAATCATCAGCCCCGTACAGTTTGTTTTATCTCCCGTAAAAGAAATATTCTGGAAATGTTAGTTAATCATTGCCGTAGCAACAATAGACTACGTGTCGATGTTTATCTCACCTGTAATCAAGTTCTCGGTAACAACTAATTAACGTTAAAAGATGTCACACTATTTTTAAAAATAATACAATGCTTGTCGATCTACTTGTTTACCAGCCGATCCGCCTATTATTAACCTGCTAGTAGTAAAAAGTTGTTAGTCGTTTTTAGATGCTCGTAGCAGCGCTAAGGGTGCCACTGCGCCTCTTGGGACAGTTGTTAGCCGCTACAGTAACAACTAACAAGGGCATCGGGTGTGTTTACAGGCATTTATACACACCTTTACATAAATATCCATTTTTTTATTTAAAAAATATATATGCCAAATGATTCACACTGTTTTAGTGTAAAGACTGTTATTATTAAGCTTGGGATCGAAACCACTCCATTCGACTAAATGTTAGTCCACTCCAGCCAACCCATGCCCCACCCCGATAACCCCCAAAACATTCATCAAATTATCCCCTCAAGATAGATGTTGCCAAAGATTCTAGTGTTACCCCGATTTTGGAAAAGTTGTGTTACTACAAACATTCAGTAGAGTAAATATGTTACAAAACTTTCAATGGCTCCACATGTTCATAATCAATTGCATATTATTGCTTTTTTACCATCTGAGTGTATTTGCCTGTAAACCTTTAGTATAATAATAAATAAACGAAATCCGGCTTATCGTTCTGTTCCATGACCCGGCATCCGGGCTGTGAGTGGATATTTTGCCCGGGGTAGCAACGTTTACTACTTCAGTAGGATAATTCAGTTGATGATCCAGGAAAAAAAAGGTTCAGTTATATACAATAAAGATTTATGTTACTTTAAATACATTTCCAATTCTTTAGCATGTAAGATGGCTGACTTCTTACAGCACATAATTATACAATAACCGAAGTTTGCTCCATGAAAACCCGACACTCTTTTAATTCCCGATTCTTCCAATAATGAACATGTTCAGATATTTTATTTATTACAAATTACTATAAAGTATTTATGTAAACCGTAGTTTGAATTTTTTTTCTTTGTTCATTTATTCACAAACTGTAAATAATGAATAATAAAATAAACTATAAAAAAGCATTACTAGGTCCTATATAAGTTTTATTTTATTATTATTGGCCATTAATAATTAGCGAATAAGATAACAACCCGGGTCCTTTCTCGCTATTTTATATCAACAGAATGTTTGCCGTAAAAATGCCGTCACTTGATTAACGTCCCGTTGCGCTAGATGCATTTTCGCTAGAATAACAAATTTTTTTTTACGGCTTAATACACGTTAAACATGCATTCAGATTGATTATTTAACATTTAATTCAGAAAAAATATATTTAAAATACGAATGCTAGATAATCAATCGGATTTATACTAGATCCATCAGATAAAAGATGGAGGCGTTACGCTCGAGCAGTATAGATCGATGAAATTTCAATTCCACATATCTTTGTATATACCAGATAGCGATTAGTCTTTCACATTAATGTAGTTATTCATATTGCTTAGAGCTTAGAATGGCACATCGGGCCTTTAAAACTAGAAATATTATGAAATAATCTCGTTTATCAGGTCGCTCAGTAACTGTGTGCTGTGTGTGTGTGTGTGGGGGGGGGGGGGGCTCTTAACCACCTATAGTAGCCTTCTGTAAGCAAATTTTGAGCTGAAATTTTCAGGCGGGTTCCTTAAGACTATTGCTTAGGTTTATATTTTGGCGTTTATTTTGTTGCATATATACACACTTACGCAGTGTTTTATTGCTGAATACGGTGGCTGATAATTATCACCCAAGTCAAATTTAATTTCCACCCAAGTCATTTGTATTAAAAAAAAAAAAATGATAATTTTTTTCATGTCCCTTATCAGCAGGGCTGTCGGTAATTTTTCACAGATGATTAGCAGCACTTCTAATCAAAAAGTCCAATTTTGCCAAATTTGATTAGCAAATTTATAAATTGATAAGCAGTTTTTCGGTTTCAACATAAAACACCTAAATAACAAGATTAATTTATAACAAATGATTAGATTTCATTCTTAAGATTTTAGCACTGCTACAGGTAGCTGTGAACATTTCTAAATGTAGACTTTTGGTTATGTCTGAAGCCAATTCTTGGCAGTGGCTTCCAAAGTATGTTCAAAACAAACGCCAAGGTTCTGCGATCCTACCTGGAAAACTATGAGAACGCGGGTTTTTTTTTAAGTTTGCAATATTTTGAGACATTTTCTCACGCTGTGTCCACGTTTACCGGCGACCTTATGTGCATTTTCTGGTCGCCGTACGGTCGTAGCAGCGCTGTAAGAACGCCACCCGGGTCTGACGGAGGCATAAGTTATATACTATAGACTCGAAGAAAATGTCAACTGACCAGATTGTTCTATCAATAGCGCCCAAAGTATTGCAAAAATTGACCAACCTGCAAGTAAATATAGATTACATTTTACTTTACATATCATATCAAAAATTTAATTTAAACTTTGACTGATTCAAGATGGCTACATGCATTTCATAATTAAAACAGTTTTTATTTTGAAATGTCTCTATAAGTACCATAATATAGATCTATGCTTTATATCGGTATCATTTCGGTCCGAGTTTGAATAATGCTCATTTGTGAAAAAAAATAATGGACTCCTACAACCCGCATATTTTCCTTACTGTCATTCAATTGGACTGATTTTGTTTTTGTTTTTTATGTGAATTACATGATGTTATATTTATTCATCACGCGCTTATTCTTGTCCAAGTTGCGTGAGGGCTTTTCTATAGCCCCCATCCCACCCCACTCCACCCCCATTTTACAAAATTTCAGTTATCCATAATTCTGACAATTCTTTATGAAATCTTCTAAATTTTTGATGTGATGTGTAAAATGCATTATTATAACTTTCTGAAATACTTTGAGCACTGCTGACAAAAAAAACCAATGATCTTGTCGGTAATTGTGATTGTTTGTATATAGACAAGATGTTACCTGTATTATTTTTACTTCAATAAACAAATAATATGAACATAAACACTAATCAATGTCCACAAAGGTTATTAATAATTCCATTGGATAACGATTTTATAAGTGTAATATTTCTGTGTCGAATTTTCTCTGCTTAAAGGGAAATGCGGTTGATTTGTTTATCGGCATTTCAAATTTTAATGATTGCAATTCAGTAATATTCACTGGCTTATTAATATCCCTAATGATTGACCAATTTTCATCACATTGACAATTTTGTGTCGGGCAGTGTTTAATAGAAAACATCCCTATCTTCTCTTTATTTTTGCAGGACAAATTTGAAATACAAAACCTGATGCTCCACCCTATGAATGCCATGTTTAACCTGGACTCCGAAATGACAAATACTAATACTCTGACACAAAACATGCTGAATATAAATATATGGGGCCAAATTCGAATGCCAAACAATGTTGTAACATGGACGGGAAATCTTCCTTTGTTCTTTTCGTTGAATAGGCAGATTGTTTTCCCCCTAGTAGATTGGGTGGAGCTTGAACATGTCTAGTTATTGCACTCTTTTGCTGGTTTACACTAGTTTTAGTAGAAATCGTATAGAGACGTGGGTGGGTTTTCTGTGCAATAACAACAAGCATGTTGAGCCGGTGTTAGTGTTACAAGTCATTTATAGCAAGCTTCATTCGTTAACAGGTTTAACAACTCGGCCTTCGGCCTCGATGTTTAAACCTGTTAACTCATGAAAGCCGTGCTATAAATATAACTTGTATTGTATCTGTGTGTTTTTTTACAAACACCGTATGAGCTAAATATGTCTAATGTAGTTCATTCGTTAGGCCTCAAATGTTATAAAAATCAATAATTGGACATTTATGCACATGCTAAGCCCATAATCAACGTTCCAGACCATCGGGTGCTTTTGATTTTCAACGGACATAAACACGATTGCATCCAGGCTACACTGTTCTTCAAACGGCAATAACTCCGCTTAGAATGAAGTAATTTGTCTGAATTTTTCAAAATATTCTCTTTCAACTCTCTTTTCTAACTATTATAGCAAGAGCTGTCAGCTCTTAATCTAAATCTTACATAATGCATCTTTAATATTACTGGTTTATTTCTAGCATGAGTTCCTATAACCTCCCTTTAAAGTATGAGAATACAATGATGAAAAACAAACACAATCATCAACTTTGTAAAATCGTTACTGTCGATTAAAAACAATATGTCGCACCCAAACTCTTTCTCGATTAACGTCTCTAGAGGAGTTTGTTAAATTACATCCTATTGACAAGTTGGAACAATCATGGGCGTTTTGGTCAAATTATCTTTGCTGGCTGCGTTGTTTGTAAAAGTAAATGCTGATTGCATGGTGTCGTTTTTGGATATTGTGTTTGAAAGTAAGTTTAAGAATATTTAAATTATGTAAATGATGTACTTTTTGGAGACCCCACCCCTCTTCAACATTTGATTGACATACACTGATCAACATGGACAATACTCTCAATTAAAACAACTAAATATAATTCTGTTTGTGTTTATTGTTACAGTTGATGGTGAGACCAGACAGATTTGTAATATACGATCTAAAGTTATACCATCAGGTGAAACTGCTGACGATACATGTAGAATTGCCTGTCTGTGTAATGGTAGAATATTAACATGCTGTGATGAGTAATTTATTTTCTAAATCTATTTAAACATTAACAATATTTCGTGGACATTTGTTTAGAAACAAGATTTAAAATTGCATAATTATCTTGCACGACTAAAATATCTCTAATTATGAAAATAACGTTGACCTCACTGTCATAAAAAGTGTTGCTTCTCTCTTTAGTAAATTAAGCGTTATGCAAACGATGGGTATTCGTGGCTAATTCCGTTGTATACGGAACCGCGTTGGATCAGTGAGTAAGACGCTGGCTCGCTAACCTGGAGGTCTAGGTTTGGCTCCAAGTT